ACCAGGCCAGCATAGATGTCGCTGAGACAGGACTGCAAACATGTTGGGAATGTGGGCTTGGGAGAGCACATCTCTGTTTGACACTCTCCTGCCATGTTGATGCCCAAAATCTTCCTGACTCAGCGCATGTGGAAGGCATTGAGGCGTCGCTCCTGATGGTTGTAAGTTGCCCGTGACTCACTTCCATAAAGCAGTGTGCTTAAGATGCACAATATTAGAAATAAAGGAAGCAATTAAAATGCAATTAAAAATACAATTTAATGTAGACATGCCATGGGTCACCTGAATGAAGCTTAGGGACCCCACTAGTGGTCCACAGACTACCAGTTTGGGATTGCCTGGTACATAATTTAAATCAGTATGTATTGCGCAACTTTCCAGGCACTGTTTTTAAAAGAAATCAAAGAAGTATATTGCATCTACCTTTGCCAACCTGTGCCCTCTAGATGAAGGAGCGTCTCCACCCCCATCATTCAACCCGGACACTGAGGTCCAGCGCCGAGGACCTTCTGGCGGTTCCCTGGCTGCAAGAAGCCAAGTTATAGGGAACCAGGCAAAGGGCCTTCTCAGTAGTGGCACCCGCTGTGTGGAACGCCCTCCCACCAGATGTCAAAGAGAAAAACATCTGACACTTAGAAGACATCTGAAGGCAGCCCTGTTTAGGGAAGCTTTTAATGTTTAATAGACTATTGTATTTTAATATTCTGTTGGAAGCCACCCAGAGTGGCTGGGGAAACCCAGCCAGATGGGTGGAGTATAAATAATAAATTGTTCTTCTTCTTATTATTATTTTAAACTAGAACACCCATCAGCCCCCGTGCTGGCTGGGCCAATGGGAGTAGGTTGGCAAAGCCTGGTCTAATAGTTTGCAAGTGATTCATCGCATGTGGAATGAACCTCTGGCCAGCCCATCAATGCTCGCTAAGACCCCACCATCTGCCCCTCCTGCTTAGTCACTTAGCGCTCCAGGAAGATGCTCCAGGTGCCTTTTCCACACAGAAACTGCACCAGGATTCCAAACATAGCCGAGTTCCTCCTTTTGCCCTCTCACTGCAGTTTATTTTCCTGCCCTGCTGAACAAAGCTGTTTCAACATCCACTTTTGATGCTTTTTAGATTCATCAACCTGACAGCAGACGGGGTCATGTCTGGTTGCTGGTGTCTTGCTTCTGTATTTCTGACTCTCTCTCTCTCTCTCCCCTAAAAAGAAAATCTCTTGGTTTGAAGCTGGAATTCTTTCCCTCACTTATTAAATATAAGAAATAAGAAGTGACCCCAGCTTCCAGTGAGAGAAGGATAATAATGATGATGCCGATTTAAATTATGTATATCCTGCTTTTTAAAACAGCCAATGATCTAAATGGCTTACCAAAAATGTGAATACAGTGGTACCTCGGGTTACAGACACTTCAGGTTACAGACTCCGCTAACCCAGAAATAGTACCTTGGGTTAAGAACTTTGCTTTAGGATGAGAACAGAAATCGCACCGCCACGGCAGCAGGAGGCCCCATTAGCTAAAGTGGTACCTCAGGTTAAGAACAGTTTCAGGTTAAGAACGGACCTCCGGAGCAAATTAAGTACTTAACCCGAGGTACCACTGTAATAGAAATATACTAATACTATATATGAAATGCAGAGCACACACACACACACTGGGCTACCAGAGAACACGTCCGCTGAGCCTAATTTCATGATGGAGGGGTGACTCTAGGGCCCCCAAGGACGGCTTCTGGGGGCAGATACGGACCCACAGGCACCAGACCTGGGTGGGCCCTGCCTCAGGGGGGAAGAGGGTGGCTGTGGAAGGTGGGAGAGTTAAGCTGTCAATCCGCCATCTCTCCTTGCAATGAGGCTTCCTCACTTAGACTTTTCCGTTCCAAGGGACGAGGAGCTCTCTAGCTTTACAGCCCATTAAATCACTGGTCCATCCCCTCCACACCCCGGCCAGGCTCCGGCCACAATGAGCAGGTGCAACGGATATGGCTGATTCAGCATTAGCTAAACCCTCCTCTCCCCCCACCAAAGCCAGGCTTTAGATGCCTTCTTGAAAGGAGCATTGATTTATTGCACAAAGAAGAGGAAATTAAATGGGGAAGGGACAGATGGTGCCGGGCCGTGGAGGGTGGGGGAGGCGCCATCGGCCGCTGCAGGGAAGCAGGATGTGAAGAAGCCATCTTTTCATCCTCGTTTTTAAATAGTATTGATTTCTTGGTTGCATGGTAGAATCATTTGTAGTCTCTCACACAGAAAAAGAAGAAAACACCCCTCCCCCCCCCCAGGATCTTTCCTCTGATCCTGTGGACATGTGGAGCTACAATGGGCCACAGATTAAACACAAACACACACACACACACACACACACACACAGTGACACCAGCAGGCTCTGCAAGGGCGAAGAACATCAGACCAGGCCATTGGCCCATCTGGTCCAGCATCCTGTTCTCCCAGGGGCTGACCAGGTGCCCCAATGAGAAACCTGCAACAGGATTCATGCACAAGAATCTTCTCGCTTTCTGTGGTTTCCAGCAACTAATATTCAGAAGCATTTACCGTCTCTGACAGCGGAGACAAAGCAGAGCCATCATAGCTTGTAGCCAGGCCCTCTCCACCTCTATTAAAGCCACCTAGTTTGGTGACCATCAGAATAGCTGTCAGCTTTTCCCTTTTCTTGCGAGGAATCCTATTCGGAATAAGGGAATTTCCCTTTTAAAAAGGGAAACGTTGACAGCTATGGCCATCAGTGCCTCCTGCAGGTGTGGGTTCCATAGTGAGGAGGAATTAAAGAACCTTTTAATGAGGGTGAAAGAGGAGAGCGCAAAATATGGTTTGAAGCTCAACATCAAAAAAAAAAAAAAAAAGAAGATCATGGCCACTGGTCCCATCACCTCCTGGCAAATAGAAGGGGAAGAAATGGAGGCAGTGAGAGATTTTACTTTCTAGGGCTCCATGATCACTGCAGATGGTGACAGCAGTCACAAAATTAAAAGATGCCTGCTTCTTGGGAGAAAAGCAATGACAAACCCAGACAGCATCTTAAAAAGCAGAGACATCACCTTGCCAACAAAGGTCCGTCTAGTTCAAGCTCTGGTTTTCCCAGTAGTGATGTATGGAAGTGAGAGCTGGTCCATAAAGAAGGCTGATCGCCGAAGAATGGATGCTTTTGAATTCTGGTGCTGGAGGAGACTCTTGAGAGTCCCATGGACTGCAAGAAGATCAAACCTCTCCATTCTGAAGGAAATCAGCCCTGAGTGCTCACTGGAAGGACAGATCCTGAAGCTGAGGCTCCAATACTTTGGCCACCTCATGAGAAGAGAAGACTCCCTGGAAAAGACCCTGATGTTAGGAAAGATGGAGGGCACAAGGAGAAGGGGACGACAGAGGACGAGATGGTTGGACAGTGTTCTCAAAGCTACCAGCATGAGTTTGACCAAACTGCGGGAGGCAGTGGAAGACAGGAGTGCCTGGTGTGCCCTGGTCCAGGGGGTCACGAAGAGTCGGACACGACTAAACGGCTAAACAACAACAACGGTGTAAAGAAGGACTTCCTTTCATCTGTCATGAATCTCCCGGCATTCAGCTCCACTGGGTGGCCACAAACGGCCTTTAGTGCATTCAGGGCAAAACCAGCGGCAGATCCTGGAGAAATCTGGCAGCCCAGAGCAAAGGCTTCCAAAGCACGTCCCAGGGGACAGGTGGTGGCGGAATCACCTGGGTGGACCTGGCTTCTCAGGAGTGGTTCCTGACAGTTTTGTGAGTAGGGAAAACCTGGCTGACCAGTTGGCACATCAATGGAAAAATGGGGCAGGCAATGTCCTTGGTCCTGCTGCCCCATGGAAAGGGGCTGGGGCCATCTCTTAGGCACAAGCTGGTAGTATATTGGGACTTGGCCACCTCCCTTCCACATGCCCCCCAGCTCCATTCTAAGCGCCTGGGAATAGACTACAGATGTTTGTACAGTCTGTGCGCACAGCAGCTGGGTGGCCAAATCAAGCGCTTCACACATACATTTGTACATGTGTAGAGACAGCTTGTGCTTGTGTAAACCTAATGTGGGAACAAGCCATTGGTGATGTGGGAACATGCTCAGATGCACTACACATGGGTCTGTTTTCTGGAGATGAGCAAAGAAGTGGATGGAGGGGATCAAAGTGTAAGCTTGAAAGGACATTTAACAGGCAGGATTCCTGCCTCCCCTGAACATATCAGAGGCACCCGGCTGGCAGCTGTTGGAAGAAGGAGGAAATCGGGACCAGCAGGATAGCTTCTTGCCCGTGTCCCAGCAGGGCTTTAGGGGAGCTCCGATTCCAGGCAGGAAAAGTGGCAACTACAAGCAGGTTCCCTTGGGAATATTACTCCCTGCCACCCTATTATCACTGCCAGAGCAACGCCATGCAAAGGCTCACTGGGAGTCAAGTCCTTGGTACCCTGGAGGGACCACAGCTCCGCAGGAGCGCATCGGCTTTGCAGGCTGACAGGTGCAGCCCGGAATGGACAAACCCCGTCGTGCAAGCCGGGAGAGCCGCTGCCGGTCAGATCAGAGGACACCAACGTAGCCTGATTCGGTAAGGTAGCCCCCGATGCTCCCACGGTTGCGATTTCCGCCTCGGGGGCCCGAACCGCCTTTCGCAACGCAGCCGCGTGGGGAGACCCGAGGGCTTGTCCGCCTCCTGCCACGACCCCCTCCCTCCCCATCTAGATTCCGGGGCTCGGTCAAGGCTGATCTCCGCCACATTTGCTGATGAAGCTCTTGGCGGCGGCAGCCGGCGAGAAAAATCCTCCTCCTCCCCCCTGCGCCCCCCTCCTCGCCTTTGCAATTGGCTGCCCGACGTGACTTGGTCGCCGCTGCGCCGCTAGGATTGGCGCCGGCCCGGCGATAAAAGCGCCGGCGTGCCGCGCTCCCCGCCCGCCGTCGAAGAGCCTCCGCCGGCGCCGCGACCCTCCTTCCTCCCGCAGGATCGGCCCCTTCGCGGCGGCCCCGGACGCCCCTCGCAGCCGCGGCCATGAGCTACAGCCGGGAGCTGCTCTTCGCCGCGCCGTCCTCCGGCAAGAAGCCCTTCGCGGGCCGCAGCCTGGCGTACGGCTCGACGGCGGGCCGGGCGGGGGCGTCGGGGTCCGCGGGCCCCTCGGCCTTCTCGTCGTCGTATCGGAAGCTGCCGGCGCCGAGCAGCTCGCTGGACCACCTGGAGGCGCTGCGGGGCGGCGGGGGGGCGCTGGCGTCGGGGCCGAGCGCGCTCAGCAACGAGCTGAAGATCGTGCGCACCAACGAGAAGGAGCAGCTGCAGGGCCTCAACGACCGCTTCGTCAGCTACATCGAGAAGGTGCACCAGCTGGAGCAGCACAACCGGCTGCTGGAGGCCGAGGTGGCGGCGCTGCGGCAGCGGCAGGCCGAGCCGTCGCGCCTGCAGGCGCTGTACGAGCAGGAGGTGCGCGAGCTGCGCTCGCAGGTGGAGGCGCTGCGCCACGACGGCGACCAGGCGGCGCTGGAGAGCCAGCAGCTGGGCCGCGCCCTCCAGCGGCTGCGCGAGCAGGCGGCCCACGAGGCGGCGCGGCGCCAGGAGGCCGAGCTGGCGCTGCGCGACGCGCGCAAGGACGCCGACCGCGCCGCCCTGGCCCGCCTGGAGCTGGAGAAGAAGGTGGAGGCGCTCCTGGACGAGATCGCCTTCCTGCGCCACGTCCACGACGAGGAGGTGGCCGAGCTGCAGGCCGAGCTGCGGGGGGCGCAGGTGAGGCGGGCAGGGGGCGCGGCGGGGGCGGGCAGGAGGCGGCGGGGGCTCCCGGGGCGCCGTCGTCTGGTCCAGCATCGCGCGCTCGCAGTGGCCGACCCGGAGGGCTAAAGTGGTGGAGGAGGGAAGGTGAATGTAGTGAAAGCAGCACCCAAAATGTCCAGCTTGAGGAGGGAAGAAGAGCCTTCTGACCTGGTCCCTCTAGTTCAGCATCCTGTTCTGACTCACATGCCCCTTTCGGGAAACCTGCAAGTAGGATTTGCGCACAAGAGCCCTCTCCCCTCCTGCTGTTTCCAGAAATTGCAGCTGTGGAGGCGGAGCATCGCCATCGGCGGCCCTCTCCTCCATGACTTTGACGAAGCCTCTTTAAAAGCCATCTAGGTTGGTGGCCATCTCTGCCTCCTGTGGAAGAGAGTGCCCTAGTTTAGCTGTGCCCCACTGTTTAAAGAAAGACTCTTATCTGTCTTCCAGCATTTAACAGTTCCAGTGAATTGTTTGACTGGGAGTGTCAGCTGATCAGTGGAACTCACTGCTGCAGGGTGTGGTTGTGGCTGCAGGTTGAAGTGGATTTGGAAAAGAAGTGGTGCCTTCCAGATGTAGTGGACTATGGCTCTCAACTAACTGTGACCATTGGCCATGCTGGCTGGGACTTGGGAGTCCTGGGTTAGATACATGGTGAACAGGGCTGTCCGCAGCTTATTGGGAGTGGAGTTTGGAGAGCAGCAACAAGGCTTCTGAATATCAGTTCCTGGAAGCCACAGGAGGGAAGAGTTGCTCTTGTGCTCGGATCCCACTGGAGCATCTGGCTGGCCCCTGTGAGAACAGGATGCTGGACTAGGTTGGCCTGATCCAGCAGGCGCTTCTTACGTCCTTATGAGACATTTGCTCAGGCTTTGACATCAGATCCCTGGCTGTGGCACCTTTGCTGCCTCCTGAAGCACATGTGACGAGCAACCAGCCTTTCTCCCAGCTCTGAGGCTGCAGGTCAGCAGAGATCACCCCTTGCTGAGTGCCAGGTGCCCCTCCCCCGCTCCTTGGTAGTCCAGTGGCTCTGCATGCAGAAGTCCCAGGGTCAGCTCCAGGCAGCATCTCTGAGTAGGGCTGGAAATATCCCCGGAAACCTCATCACGAAACCACACTGAGCTCAGTGGACCAAGGGCATAGAGACTTCATAAAGGCAGCTTCCCACTTTCCTAGGGGTGGGGGCGTTTCAGTCGCTTGGAAGCACAAAGCCTCAGAGCAGCCAATCCGGCAAGCCCTGTTGGAAACAGGAGGGGCTAGTGGGGGCATTCTTGACCTCTGGGAGAAATTTAATTCTGTTCACAGTTAAAGGTGACATTGCACAGGTAACCGTTTCTGAAACAGGATGCCAGCCGAAAAATGCCAACACACCACCCATTGAAATTTGCACCTCTCTGAATTTTGCCTTGCAGTTCTCTAAGTTACGTTCACCAAAATACATACAGTGGAGTAAAGTGTACTTAGGAATGCATATATTAGTGAGAATCTGAGCTTATCCGCACGGATCTCACCTTAAGCTCCTTGGAGGGAAAACATCATACAGCATGTAATCATAAAGCATGATAATAACTGCAATCCCAGCCACCATCATAATAAATAGAGCAGATTCCCAGGGCCTCTCATTAGGAAAAGTGGACCTCTTCCTGCCGCTGAGTGCCTTCCCTCTATCTGTTCCCCTCCAGGTCTCCGTCGAGATCGACATGAGCAAGCCGGACCTCACGGCTGCCTTGAAAGAGATCCGTACCCAGTACGAAGTCCTGTCCGCCCGGAACCAGCAGTCGGCTGAGGAGTGGTACAAATCCAAGTTTGCCAACTTCACTGAAGAGGCAGCTCGCAGCAGCGACAGCATCCGCCAGGCAAAGGAGGAGATTTCTGAATATCGCCGGCAGCTGCAAGCCCGGAACATTGAGATCGAGTCCCTGCGCGGAGCCAACGAGTCCCTGGAGAGGCAGCTGCAGGAGGCCGAGGAGAGGAGCAGCAAAGAGATGCGTGACTTGCAGGTGCGTCACACGGAAGCCACGGTTTGCGGAGCTAAGAGTCGTTAACAAACCGTGGTTTGGTCCTTTTCCAGCTGCCTCTTTAAGTTAACCTGCCTAACTCTCTGACTGTTGCCTTTTTTGTCGTAAAGGCCTCAATGTTGAGTTGTGCTCCACAGATCAGTCAGGGAACATTTCTAAAGATTGTTCTTGCTTCTACTTTTCTATTGTTTTCCTTCTGCCCTTATTTCCCCATCTTCTCCCTGACAATGAACTCCATTCTCCAAGCCCTGCTCTTCCTCTGTCAATTCTCGCTTGCTGTCCCAAAGTTCTGCACACCTTAAAATCCACTTTTTCCAGACAGTCCCCCTGCCCACAGCTCATGATCACATCCCCCCATGCCTGTCTCTTCCATCTTGTCCTGTTCTCTCCTCTGACAACCAGCCAGCCTCGTCTTAGCGTATGCAGGAAGGTTAGACTACAGTTCCCAACATCTAGTGCAGTTGGCTGAGGCTAATGGGATGTGTAGTCCACAGCTGGAGTCCACAGTTGGAGAGCACCTGGTTGGGGGAAGGCTGGTTTTGATTGGCAGCACCTCGGGGATGGGGATCCGCCTTCCTTGTTATGCTTTAAAGTGCTACAGGTATCGATGTTACGTAGAAATTGTGATACATTTCAGGAGACCATCAGCCAGCTCGAAAATGCCCTGAGGACAACCAAGGGGGAGATGGCCCGTCACCTGCGGGAGTACCAGGACCTGTTGAATGTGAAGATGGCTCTGGATATTGAAATCGCAGCGTACAGGTAGGAGGGCCATCTCCCCCTTCCTGCTCACCTGTTGTTCCATTCTTTGGGCTGTTTGGGGTAGAAACAGAGGTTGGGCATCAACGTTTTGGTCTCCAACATGCAGGCCCCACCTAAACTCATGCTAATTTTGGGGTGGGGGTGGGGAAACCATCCATCAGGAACATCCCCTGCACAAATCATTGAATTATCAAATGGTATAGTTGGAAGGGACCCTGAGAGTCATCTAGTCCAACCTCCTGCAGTGCAGGAATCTCAGCCAAAGAATCCATGACAGATGGTTAGCCCACCTCTGTTTAAAAACATCTGATGAAGAAGAAGAGTCCACCACTACTGAACAGCTCTTACCCTCAAAAAATTCTTCCTGATGTTTAGTCCGAATCTCCTTTCTTGCCATTTGAATCCATTGGTTTGAGTCTTACCCTCTGGAGCAGAAGGGAACAAGCTTTCTCCATCTCCCATAGGACATATTATTATTGATATTATTTAAATTGATATACCGGCCTTTATCTGAAGATCCTAGGGCAGCTCACAAGAGAAAAATACAGAATGAGTACACAAGATACACAATAAAACCCAAACTAGCCATTGACCAACCTTCCACAAACACATTTTAAAAGCCATAGAATGTTAATCAGCCCAACACCCAGTTGAAGAGGGAACATTTTCACTGGCACCTAAAGTTGTGTAATGCAGGCGCCAGGTGAGTGTCTCTGGGGAGAGCATTCCACAAATGGGGAGCCACCGCAGAAAAGGCCTGTTTTTGTGTTGCCGCCCTCCGGAATTATTGTGGAAGAGGCACACAAAGAAGGGCCTCAGAGGATGATTGCAGGGTCTGTGCCAGTCCTTATGGAAGGAAGTGGTCCTTGAGGTATTGCGGTCATCTCTCCTCTCAATCTTCTCTTCCCAACTCCTTCAACTGATCTTGGCTTCTTTCCAGGCCTTTGATCATCTTGGTTGCCCTCTCCTGACTTTTCCCTTTTTTTAACCTTCTATTTTTAATTGTGGAACCCAAGGTAGATAGCTGTGGTTTCTAGGTAGGTTTCTGTGCATGCGCTGAGAAGACCCAGACCTTCTTAGCTTCAGCAAACTTGCCTGCCCTCTGGCTTCTCCCTGCCACTGTCCTTGGTGCTGCCCTTGGCAACATGCTGCAGGGTTTATTTCTCAAAAGTACTTGGTTGGGTTTCTACAGCAGTGGTTCCCAAGCTTTTTGGGGGCCACTGCCCCCTTGGTTCCCTAAACCCATCCCCAGTGACCCCTACCTTATTAAAAGCATTATTTCAGAATAGCAGCTTGAACAAACCACTAAGTAAGATTCACAGAAAATCTAAAAACCTAGCCAGAATTCAACAAAACTGATGCATTCGATCCAGATTTTCAAAGGCTGATAGTCTTACACCTCCAGTGTCCCCTGTGCCACCCCCTATCCCCTCAAACCCCCCTGGGTCATCACACTTTCGCTGCATGAGAATACTCGTGTGTAGGCACCTCGTTAGAAGCTTTTGTCCATTTAGCAGAGTTTCTGGAAACAGTGGCCAGCAATTGAAGTTACACTCCCAGACACTGTGCAACTCAGACAAGTGATTTATTGCTTGACTGGTCATAAATGCATCACGGTAGCACTATTTACAATCGTTACAGCAATAGCTGTAACGGCACACTTAGGTTTCAGTCCCTCTTTCTCTTTAGCAATGACGTAGGCAGACACAGCCCATCAGCAGCCAGGATGCAGCAGTTTGCAGACAGCATTTGTTGGTCGGTTGTCTGCGAAAAGCTAAAACAAAAGTTCTCCTTTTATCAGCGCTTCCAGCTGAAGCTGCGCGTGCTCAGAGTGCCACTCCTACTTATGTACAACTGTTCTGGAATCTTCTCCGTGTTTCTGGGTGAATGACTCCCTGACACCTCGGCCCCACTTTGGGAACCACTGCTCTAAAGCATCAAGTGGTGGATCTTGAGAGATCCGTAGTGTTGTTCTGACGTGGTTTGTGTGGTTTTGCCTCTGCAGAAAATTGCTGGAAGGGGAAGAGACCCGCCTGAGCACCGTCAGCAGCAGCAGCAGCAGTGCCTTCGGCCTGGGCTACCCCTTCTCCTCGAGCCCCCTGGCCGGCTTCAAGGGGTTCTCAGCCAGCACAGTGGCGATCCGGAAGGACAAGAAGGCAGAGTCCCAGGACAGCCCCAAGGAGTCCAATGACTCGGGAGAGTCAAAGGACGAGGATGATTCTGGAGATGAGAAGTCTGCAACGGGCGTGCCCAAAACCTAAAACTGTGTCCCAAAGGCAGTCCTCCCCCCCCACCCTCTCACTGAATTTCCTCAGAATGGGGTGAGGGTGTTGTAGGTTTTTCAGACATGGGATGGCTCTCAGGATGAGTCCATCAGGCAGGCCACGATAACCGGACACCAGATTACTCCTGGACAGATCCACATGCCTCTGGCAACTCTCTGGGAGCCAGCATCACACAGATCTGCCCAGAACCCAGTTGATTATCACAAGCAGAGGCTGTAGAGCTCTTGGGCAGATAGCTGGACCTCTTAGCTCTCTGGCATCACAAACCTCTGCAAGTTTACTTTGGAGTAAATCCCACTGTGTTTGTCTGTGAGCGACACACAGAAGTCTTCCCCTGTCTGAAACACTTCCTGCAAAACATAATCTTCCAGAGGGAAACTTGGCAGGGGTGTGTGTGTGTGTGTTTAAGATTAGCCTGCCCTCCATTCCCCCCCCCTTTGTTGACCATCTTCGGTCTTCTAATCTGGAGGGCACCAGGTTGGGGAAGGCTCACTTAGGTTACATTAGCATTCCCTACTTCTCTGAGGCTGACCTGACTTCAGACAAGGTCCTTGAATGCTGAAGTGCAGCGATTCCCAAATGTTTTTCAGGCCGCTGCCCCCTTGGTTCCATAAATTCAACCCCCACTGCCCCCTCCCCTATGTAAAGCGTTGTTCCACAATACTGGTTTGCATGGCCCACTAGGGAAAATCACTATGTAGTTAAATTGATTCAACAGAACTGATGAACTGGATCCAGTGAGACCAGCTTTTCAAAGTCTGCTTGTCATTTACACCTCCAGGCCCCCCCCCGCCACCCCCTTGCCTCTTAGTCGCCCCCCCCCCAGAAATCCCACTGCCCCGGGAGGGGGGGTGATCCTACCCACTTTGGGAACTGCTGCTCTAGAATATATTTAATACTTCCGAGTTACTCGTTTTGTGCCTCTTTCTCATTCAAAACCTCTGACTTTAAAAGCCACAGGGCAGATCATTGTGGTTATGTGATCTCCACCCCTTTGTCTGTCTGTTTGTTCAGGTAAAGCTGCAGTCAGGAGGAGTGGCAGTCAGTTCTCAGGGGAGAACTGGCTGTTTTACTCTTTCCTTGACAGCTTCTTATCCATTCAAAACTGGTCTTCCTCCCCGTTCTGCTGGTGGACAAGCAGTTTAGAGTGGCTGGGTGCTGACTTACAGCTGGCAGGGAAAGGGTTAGGGTTACTCAGATCCTTTGTGGTAGAACTGTAGAGTTGGAAAACATCCAGTGAGCCCCTCCCCACCAAACCCCACCACCACCACCTCTGCACTTAGAGATTCCCTGCCTGCAGTTAGAGGCACAGTGCCTTTGGGTGGGGCCGACAGGAAGCCTTCCCTCCTCACCTGTGCATATTGTGCTATGGGTTAAACCACAGAGCCTAGGACTTGCTGATCAGAAGGTCGGCAGTCCGAATCCCCGTGACGGGGTGAGATCCCTTTGCTCGGTCCCTGCTCCTGCCAACCTAGCAGTTTGAAAGCACGTCAAAGTGCAAGTAGATAAATCCGGCAGAAAGGTAAACGGCGTTTCCATGTGCTGCTCTGGTTCGCCAGAAGCGACTTAGTCATGCTGGCCACATGACCCGGAAGCAGTACACCGGCTCCCTTGGCCAATAAAGCGAGATGATCGCCGCAACCCCAGAGTCGGCCATGACTGGACCTAATGGTCAGGGGTCCCCTTTACCTTTACCTTTTTACTTGTTTGTACAGCTGCCCCAGGTGGTGCCTCTAGCCATGGAGGGTCAGTGAATTAAAACCCACTTCTGGGCTCTTGTTTTTTCCACAGTCTTTGCCCTTTTTAACAATGGTCCTAGCCTTGAAGTTATTCTCTTTACCTGTTAGACTTCCTAAGGTGTGACTGATCTCTGACTTTCTAATTCTTTGTTATCTATTTATAAAAAATAAATAAATGGGAGTTTTGGGGAAAACTGATTCTGAAACAGAAGGTAAGTACCCAGAGGGGTATGGATGGCGCAGAAGAATTGTTCCTGAGCATCTGTAATGCTTCTGCCTTGATATTCCCATTGTTGAGTCCAGCCTGCCCATTTAACAGGGAAAGAGCAGAGAGGCAGGAGTGTTTGTGTGCTTAAAGCCAGGCCTACAACTCCCATGATCCCTAGCTAGCAGGATCAGTGGTCAGGGATGCTGGGAATTGTAGTCTCAAAACATCTGGAGGGCCGAGGTTGAGGAAGCCGGGCTTAAGCTTTTCCCTGTCCACCATTTTCCTGTGTTGCAGTTTACACACACAGTTTGAAATGTGTTTCCCTTTGCAAGCACACGTTTGAATGCCATTTGTATCTTGGCTCTAGGAATGTACCCATTGCATGCTGAGCAATTTGTAGGAAGAGTTAGTTGGGTATTCTGAATGTAAAGCCTGTGGTGACTGGTCCGCAAGCAACACTAGAGAGCTGCTAAAGGAGTTGAAGAATTTAAGTCACCCATTTTGGGTCCTTTGTAGAGATAGGAATTAGGCAAAGACATTTACTGGGCAAATGCCATCCCTCTCAGCTGCTTGGTGGCAGGCGCAGTCTGCAAGGAACATCTCCCAGTGGCAACTCAAAAAAGTGGGAGGCAACAATCAAATTGGAATTAAACATTCCTATTGTAGAATGCCATTTAAATGGGAAGGTGTCGGATATGCAAAAGCATTTAAATAAGAAAAGTTCGTTATCGTTGTGCTCTACTAAAAGTTCCTGGAACTTTATAAAACATAGTCATGTTGTAGAATAAATAGATAATGTTAGAAGGATGGATAGTCAGTCGGCCATAACTTGCCTGTACAGTTGTACCTTGGATCTCAAACGCATCGGCTCCTGAACAATCGAAACCCGGAAGTGAGTGTTGCAGTTTTTGAACGTTCTTTTGGAACCCAAACGTCTGACGAGGCTTCTGCGGCTTCCAATTGGTTGCAGGGGCTTCTTGCAGCCAATAAGAAACTGCACTTTGGTTTTCAAACATTTTGGAAGTCGAAAGGACTTGCGGGATGGATTCCGTTCGAATTCCAAGGTATGACTGTAGTAGTATCTGAAGAAGTGTGCATGCACACAAAAGCTCATACCAATAGCAAACTTAGTTGGTCTCTAAGGTACTACTGGAAGGAATTTTTTTATTTTGTGGTAGTGAAGGTGCCACTTAAAGTTAAATACAGTACAGTGGCATCTTGTGTGCATTTAACCTGCACAATTTCAACCATATGCAGTTGAAATTGCGCAAGTTAAATCCAAGCAAAGCGGAGAGCTCAAAAGCATTTTTTGCGCCAGGTCCTTTTGTGGTTACCCACTACGGAAAGAGCATTTAAGCCTTGCTTGATGAAGCCAAGATCCAGTCAGTGCGCTAGCTCTGGGATGCTCTTGCAAGATCTCGCAGGGAAATCTGAGGTCCGGTGAGATCTTCCACGAGCATCCCTGACCTTCCAGAAGTGGTGTGTTGAGCAGGCCTTGCCGCTTCCCCTCCCTCACGCAAGGTAGAGATCTTAAAAGGTAACCCCAAATGAAAAGAGCCTTTGAGCTCTCCACCTTGCTTGGGCAAGGCCTGCTCAGCGTACCCGCTCTAGGAGTCCTGCAGTTTCCCCCCCTCACCTGCCAGCTGGGGCAGCTCCAGGGGGCTGGGTATGTGCGACCTTTGTGGTATACACAAAACCCTTGGAACCGAAACTCTGCATAAGATGCGATTGTGCTGTAATCCCATTGGCCGCCTGCAGTTGATCATGGTCTTCATCTTAACAGCACGAAATTAAATGTCCCAGGTGTTCCTCTGGTTGGGCATTTTCACCCAAGAGATGCTCCCTACAGATTCTGCCCCAGCTCCCTTTTGAGTGTCCGGAAATACGCGATGCCTGTTAGAGAATGCAATGCATGTCCAGATAGAGAGAGTTTTAAGTGTCTGTGTATAAATGTAGAGGAATGCAAATTGAATGTAAGACAAGGAAGGTCATACAGTCATTTCAAATGCTGCTTATTTAATCATTGGTGTTACCTGTGCATGAACCTACATTCCTGTGGTGGTTATTTATTTATTTATTTATATATTTATTTTCATTGTTTGTTTATTTATTTGGAAGGCAAAAATAAAATGGAAACGAAAAGCCCTGATGAACAGGATTGTGCCTTTTCACCCCTCCCTCATTTGCCCCGTGTGAAATGGTGTTGCGATGCTGCCAGTATCAATATCCCTTTGGTTTCGGGGGGGGGGGGGCTTTAAAGTTGTGCTGGATAAATGTTGAAATTGGCAGGAGTTGGAAATTGCCTAGATTTCCCGGGATTATGCCCCCTCTGCTTTAACCACAGAAATTCAATTGATCTAGGCAGAATTTAGAACGGTTATTGAGGCTTGACCCTGGTGAGGAACGTTCGTTCATGGGGCCTGTTTTGGAAATGTTTAGGTGGCGCATAGTTAATCTACGGAACTGCCTGCCACAGGAGGCAGTGATGGCCGCCAACTTGGATGGCTTTAAAACAGGAAGAGAGAAATTCATGGAGGAGGAGAGGGCTGTCAGTGGCTCCCAGCCATGTCTGCTCTGCCTCCACAATGGAAGGCGACACTGTTTCTCAGTCCCTGGTGCTGGAAACCAGAGGGGGAGAAGAGCATTGCTTTTGGGCTTCTGGGCTTCCCTTTGCAGCATCTGGGTGGCCACTGTGAGAACAGGATAATGTGTCAGGTGTGCGTGCAGGAGCCAGGCCCTGTGACCACTAGGACTTTGCAGGACTGGAGAGGCAAGGCACGGCCACACACGTTCTGGAGAGGCAAGGCGCGGCCACACAGGTGAGGCTGATTGGTAACTCACAGCTCCTGGTGGCAAGAGCTGGGAAGGGATAAAAGGTCAGCATTTCCCTTCGGCTCTTTGCCACAGCAACACACTTCCTGATCCTTGAACCTTGGCTTCTTGACTCCTTGGACCCTTGATTTTGTGACTCCTTGCTTCTTGGTCCTCGGACTCTTGGCTTCCTGACCCCTGGCTTCCAGACCCCTGTTCCTGCTCCCACCCCGCCATCTTGCCCCCGTCCTCATGTCCCCTGCCAGGACTTCGATCACCCGTGAACCGGACTGTGACTTAATGGACCAGATGATGCCCCTTTGGTCTGATCCAGCAGCCGCCTCTTCTTACATCCTAATGCAACTAATGCTGATAGCCTTGGCGTGATTCCTGTATTACTGGAAACTTCTTCGAAGATTATTGCATTACAACTCAGGCTGCGTTAATGAAATACTCCTGCAGAGGGAAATACATCTCTGGCAAGAACAAGAGGTGCTTTTCCAGAAACTAATAGATCAGAAAGTGGCCCCCAATGAGCCATTGGAAAGCTGCCCAGGAGAGGCAGCTAATGAAATGAGGGAGGTAAGTCTATGGATTATTGATATGGTAGAAGCTGCTTGCCAAAGTATGTGCAGGGCTAGATAGATTAGGTAGATAATTGCATTTATTTAATTATTCATTTATTTCCTCCCCCTCTTAAACACACACTTTTTATTGCATTTGTATCCCACCTTTTCATCAGAGGAGCTCACTTAATCTCCACAACAACCGTGCAAGGTAGGGTTAGGTTGAGAGGCAGTGACTAGCCCCCAACAAGTCACCCAGTGAGCTTCATGGCCAAGTGGGGATTTGAACCCAGGTCTCCCAGCTCCTTGACTGACACCCTAAACCACTGCACCACACTGACTCATGTATGTATGTATCACAAGAGTGCAATTGGTAAAAACCTGATGGCTTCTGGCATCTCTCCATGGGCAGCCCAAATAAACATTTTCTACCTGCTATTGACCACTCTTTTCCACATCAGGCCTGGGAAGGCAAATGTGGTCTTCCTCTCCTAAGCAGTAAGGAGCCTGCCCTAAACAGTCTGTTTAATGCACGCAGACTCTGCCTAATTGAAGGAGACGGGAGCCAGGCTATTTGCTACTAATGCCTGGAACCCAGTGCCGTCTGGAGCCTGCGGCAGAATTGAATCACAAATGTATTTTCCAGCCTTAACGCGGGTGCTTTGCTGGGCAGAACAGGGAAATGAGATTAGAACCCCCAGTCAGGATCCTTTATTCTCTTCCTCTGATGCCTCCTATTATAAATTCAAAAAGCACAACAAACAACAATTCAGGTTTCCTGCAGATTGCTGCTTGCTCTGATTCAGCGTTAAAGAGCGGGTTTTTGTGGAGGAAGCTCCCAGGCAAGAAGAAGGCTTGGACATGGAGCTTTACAGCACAGAGGAAAAGTGTGGACAAGCCCTCAGTGGATGTTGGTGGAAAAGGCAAGATGTGATGCTGGGCAATCCTTCCATTTGGCCACTAGAGTGCACTAAAGACCTCTTGGAATCCGTTGAATCTCAATACTGGTTGGGATGTCTAAAAATTAGCACATGTACTAGAGATTAGTACATATATTATTGCAGTCTTGTCACACATCATTAAACCACCTTTAAAACAAACAAACCCTGTTTGTTTATAATATTATGAAAACCAATAAAAAAAATTGGGGGGGGGAATAAAATGAACAAACCCTCTACCCATTGGCAATTTTACAGACCCCCATACATTAGAGAACTTGCTTCATTTTGTCCAATTTCTAGCATAAAGGGACCCCTGGCCATTAGGCCCAGTCGCGGACGACTCTGGGGTTGCGGCACTCATCTCGCTTTATTGGCCGAGGGAGCCGGCGTACAGCTTCCGGGTCATGTGGCCAGCATGACTAAGCCGCTTCTGGCAAACCAGAGCAGCGCATGGAAACACCGTTTACCTTCCCATTGGAGCGGTACCTATTTATCTACTTGCACTTTGACGTGGTTTAAAACTGCTAGGTTGGCAGGAGCAGGGACCGAGCAACGGGAGCTCACCCCGTCATGGGGATTCAAACCACCGACCTTCTGATCAGCAAGTCCTAGGCTCTGTGGTTTAACCCACAGCACCACCTGCGTCCCAAATTTCTAGCATATCTCCTCCCTATTTGACTTGTAAATCTGTTCCTTGTGTACTTTTATGGATGAGAACCAAATTGGATAATGTGCAAAAAACCCCAACAACCCTATGAATTTGCTGCAATTCTTAGGCATGCAATAGAAGGTCCAAATACAGTGGTACCTCGGTTTACGAATTTAATCCATTCTGGAAGTCTGTTCTTAAACTGAAACCGTTCTTAAACTGAGGCATGCTTTCCCTAATGAGGCCTCCCGCTGCCGGTGCCCTTCCACCGTTCAGCTTCCATTCTTAGACCAAGGTAAGTTCGCAAACCGGGACACTACTTCTGGTTTTGCGAAGTTTGTAAACCAAATTGTTCTTAAACAGGGCTGTTCTTACACCGAGGTACCACTGTATGCACAGGAGCCTCGCAATATCAAGGGCAAAGTCGTCATTTCAGCGTGTAATACTGTTTCTCCCCACCTAGCCCTGGCAAGAGATAAACAAATCATTGATCCCCTGGAGAGCACAGTTTTAATCATGCTCCAAATCTCAACTCCAAGTGCAGAGTGGCACTGAAAGGAATAGCTGTTTTGTTAAGTTTCTGGTGCTGCACAGTGACCCACTTGTTCTTTTTTAACCTAATTACGTTTGAATGAGGCGAGAGAGAGAAATGCCCTCTGCCATCCCCTTGAATGGTTTTTAATGCTGAGGAAGCAATTTAGTGTTATTGCAACTCCTCGGAGTGCTCAGCTCCCAGCCATCAAGCCTCTGGCTCCTTCCAAGGCTAACGAAAGTGGCAGATTTGGGGTGTCACGAAGGACATCGGAGGGAGACAGATGGGAGCCACCAGGGCAAGCCTCTTCGCAACGGCTGGAGGGGGGGAACAACTGAAGACACAAAACAAGGCAGTTGCAGGATACGTTGCGGGGAAATGGTATCCTGCAAAGTGAGAGAAAGGAGAATATGACAGGAACCTCACTGGGGTTGCATGCTTTGCTTGTACAGGACTAAGCTAATGCATTTTTAGGCTGTATCAACAAAAAGTGAGTGTCCTGATGGAGGGAAGTAATACTAGCCCCACTCTATTCTGCCTTGGTTGCATCCCACCTGCATCCTGGGAATCAGTTTCAGAAGGATATTGACAAGCTGGAACAGATGCAGAGGTGGGCAACCAAGATGACAAAGGGTTTGGAACCTAAGCCTCATGAGGAGGGATGGAGGCAGTTGGGTATGTTTAGCCTGGAGAAGAGAAGATTGAGAAGGGATAGGATAGCTATCTTCAAATATCTGAAGGGCTGCCATGTGGAAGAAAGAGCAGGCTTGTTTTCTGCTGCTTCAGAGGGTAGGAACCAAACCAATGGATTCAAATGTCAAGAAAGTAGATTCCAGCAGAACATTAGGAAGAACTTTACAATGGGAAGAGCTGTTTGATAGTGGAACGGACTCCGTCGGAAGATGGTGGAGCCTCCTTCATTGGAGGTTTCTCAACAGAGGTCTGATGGCCATCGATCATGGGTTCTTTAGCTCTGATTCCAGCAGTGCATGGGGCTGGACTAGATGGCACAAGGGGTCACTTCCAACTGTACAATTCTATGGTTCTTTGAATAGTGCAATAAAGTTATTAATTGTTTCTCACCCATTCAGTTGAGTGGGTCGGAGCTTTTAAAGTTTAAATCTTAACATAGCCTGTCTTTTTTCTTCCTTCTCTTTTCTTCTATTCCTCTCTTATATAAATTTCCTCTAGGAGTCAAAATCATCTGCCTATCTGAATGGGAATCAAAGGTGAATTTTGTTCTACAGACACTACAGTATTAATATCGCAAGCAGGCCTGCTCTTGATATTTATTATGAAATATTCCAAACTGCCACAGGCTAGCTTCAACATCTTGATCAAATAACGTGGTGGGGCTGACGATTCGTTTGGCACAATTATCCCGCAATCTTTATTCTCTCCCTCCCCCCTCCCGCCAAGGGCAATGGAGAAAGCCTCATGTTGACAAGGTCACAGGCTTGCCTTGCTTGGTTTGATTTCCATCTCTAAAGTGCTTAGAACTGCAATGAGTGGAGGTGTCAGCAAAGTAAATGGCTGGCTCTTACACAGATTGGAAAAGAGAGTTTTACGCAAATGCCTTTGACCCAGACCTTCACTCAGGGAAAGCGCCAGTGGCTGCAAGGAGGCCCTCCAGACACGGTTTGATGGTGGGTGCCTTGGTTTTAACACAATCATTGTGCACTAGTGGTGCTGTTGTTGTTATGCTTTAGCTTTATTCTGAGATGCTTCCCCAGTGTACCACATACGTAGAATCAAATAATTGTAGACTTGGAAGGGACCCGGAGGGTGATCTAGTCTAAGGTTACCAGACATCCTTGTTTCCCGGGGACAGTCCCCGGATTTACAAATCAGTCCCCTGACAAAATCCTATCATTCCTATTGAAGTTGAAAAGTGTCCCCGGATTCATTGGAAAAAAATATGGTAACCTTAATCTAGTCCAACCCCCTGCAATGCAGGAATCACAGCTAAAGAGTCCAAGACAGATGGCCATCCAACCTCAGAAAGTTATTTCGAATGTTTAGTTCATTGCAAGAAGTGAGTTTCACTTCATTGCGAGAAGTGAGGTTACAGGGAACCAGGCAGAGGGCCTTCTCGGTAGTGGCTCCCACCCTGTGGAACGCCCTCCCTTCAGATGTGAAGGAAATAAGCAGCTATCTTATCTTTAAAAGACATCTGAAGGCAGCCCTGTTTAGGGAAGTTTTTAATATTTAATGCTGCATTGTTTTTAACACTCGATTGGGAGCCACCCAGAGTGGCTAAGGAGACTCAGCCAGATGGGTGGGGTATAAATAATAAATAATAATAATAATAATTATTATTATTATTATTATTGGAATCTCATGTTTTGTTACTTGAAGCCATTGGTTCAGTATCTCCCTTCTGGGGCAGCAGAAAACAAGCCTGTGCCACTTTCCATGTGACAGTCCTTAGATATCTGAAGGTGGCTGTCAAATCTCCTCTGTCTTTGCTTCTCCAAGCTAAACATACTCGGTGTCATGAGCCAGGAGTCGGTTTCACCTGTTGAGCAGCAGCCTGAAGGAGCAGAAGTGACTCCATCTGCTGCTGATCAGCCTTCTTGTTCCATGATGAGAACCAGCTGGCTCCAGCTTTCTTAAGCAAGGTTTCCAGCCTGTCAGTTGCTGGAAACAACACCAGTTGTTCCTGGCCAGACCTTGCTGCTGATTGCTTCTCAAAACCTTGGACCCTCAGCTTTCTTGACCCCCAGATTGTCTGACTACATGAACTGAGATACTCCTGACCTTTGGACTGGACTGAACCTTGCAGACAGACTCTGCCTCACTCGGCTCCCTCAACCGTTCCTCATAAGGCTTGGTTTCTAGACCCCTAATCCTCTTGGTTGCCTTGCTCTGCACACCTTCCAGCCTGTCAACATACTTCTTAAACTGTGGTGCCCAGAACTGGACACAGGACTCCAGGTGGGGTCTAACCAAGGCAGAATAGAGTGGGACTATGACTTCCCTTGACCTGGACACTCTACTTCCATTGGTGTGATTTAGAATTGCATTAGCACGTTTGCTGCTGCATTGCACTGTTGACTCGCGTTAAGCTTGTGGTGTACTAACACCCCTAGCTCCTTTTCACACATCCTGCTGTCGAGCCAACTGCTTCCCCATCCTATATTTGTGCATCTGTTGATTCCTGCTTGATGCAGGAGCCCTGAACTCCCAGAACCATACAGCTGCGCCAACTAGGGCTGATGTGACGTGTCGTCCAACAGCACATGGAGGGCCCCAGGTTGGGGAAAGCTTCCATCTGGGCTGGGCCTAAATGGTTTATCCTGGTCTGGCAAAATACCAGAGTCCCACCCTGAAAGGATCCCTTGGTTTTATCCAACCTATTCATGCCTCCTCCACATTGATGACAGTTCCTCAGGCAGTTCTTTCAACATTCAGAACCTTAAAGGCGCTTTACAACGGGATTAGCATCTCCCAGGCAAGAATCATGCAGCCCGCAAGAGAGAACTTGAGAATCCTAAGCACTAAGAAAGCACTAAGCTTTCTTTGGAGGCATTCAGATTAAAGGGCGCGGTTGGGTTCCCACCGGCTTAGTATTGTGACTCGGGTAGGGTTCAGATTTCTACTGTCAACAGATTTCTACTGTAACAAGGCTCTTTCAAAGCCTGCCACTGAATGAAGGGCTGCAAGTTCAGACTAGTAACCGAGGACAGGAGGGTAAAGGGTAAAGAGTGACATGAGAACGGACCACCCTTGGTGCTCAACCAACTTGCCTGGATAAGGTCAAAGGCCCACCTAGTCCAGCACCCTGCTTGTGGCAGCGGCAAGGCAGATGCAGCTGGGTAGTCTGCAAATGAGGCCTGAGGGATACTGCTGTTTGTTCCCCAGCGACTGGTATTCAGAGACAGAGTTCCTCTGAACATGGAGGTTTTCACGCTCCATGAATTTGCTCAAAAATACATCTAAATGAGTTGCAGGGTGGGATCCCTTTAAATCACATTTGTGGCACATTTTTTTTCTCCAGGGGATTCTGGGCACTGTAGTTCACCCCTTATAGCGTCACAGTTCCCAGCAACCCTTAAGCAAACCGCAATGCCCAGAATTCTTTGCACTGAATGAACACAGCCGACGCCTGCCATCCTTCTGGAGAGTTCATGGCAATGGTAAAGGGTAAAGGGATCCCTGACCGTTAGGTCCAGTCACGGACGACTCTGGGGCTGCAGCACTCCTCTCGCTTTATTGGCCGAGGGAGCCGGCATACAGCTTCTGGGTCATGTGGCCAGCATGACTAAGCCGCTTCTGGTGAACCAAAGCAGCGCATGGAAACGCCGTTTACCTTCCCGCCAGAGCAGTATCTATTTATCTACTTGGACTCTGACGTGCTTTCGAACTGCTAGGTTGGCAGGAGCAGGGACTGAGCAACAGGACCTCACCCCATTGCGGGGATTCGAACCGCCGACCTTCTGATCGGCAAGTCCTAGGCTCTGTGGTTTAACCCACAGTGCCACCCGCGTCCCATGGCAACAGTAGTCATGGCCAAAGGTGGCACTCTGGTGCGGGTGGCACTCTGCCACAAGGCAAAGTGAGGCGATTGCCTCGGGTGGCAGACATGGACAACAGCCCCTTGGCTGCTCCTTCTAAGCTCTGTGGCCATTCCTCTCTCTATCAAAGGACAGAGTTATTTACGGTACAAGGGCTGTCAGAGCTGTGGAAAATGCTGTCCGATTCCCAGTACTGAATTAAGACTCAACTGTCAATCCACTTGGCTTCTGTGCAAGGAATAATGAGGGGCGTCGCCTTGTACTGTGCCTCAGGCAGCAAAATGTCTTGGGCTGGCCTTGCATGGCCAATGCAAACACACACACGCATGCAAGCACAAAGCTTTCTCTCTTTCATTGTGATTCCTGCTTTGCAGGGCGTTGGACTAGATGACCAATGGGGTCCCTTCCAACTCTACCATTCTGTGATTCACTGACCCTCGCAGGCATGCCGTCACATGCACACATCCCACCTAAAATGTATAAGGTCTTTATGTTTTTTGAAGGGTGGGGCTTCACGGTCCAGCTTCAGATAGTTATGTAAAAGTTTTCATCCTCCAGCCTTGCATTGGCTGAAAACGTAGCCAATGACTGGGGAGCATGTGGGTGTTGCAAATCCCCCAGTTTCCTGGATCTCGTGCATAAAAACCCAGCGCCTGGAATGGTGAAAGGCAACAGCTGAGAGAAACTCCGAAGAGTCACAATGGCTTCCACTACATTCCTGACTCTGCCTTCTGGCAAGAAGATGCCGCAGCTGGGCCTGGGCACCTGGCTGGTAAGCAAAAAAGGATGCTTTGCTCATCTAAATTGTTGTTCCTCTCTCGCTGTCAGGAAACTGGGTGGGAAGCTGAGAGCCAGACCTCAAAACTTTCTCCAAATTTAGGGATGGCTATGGGACTCACTTGAGAGAAATGCAATTTTCCTCAGTCAGTGGCAGTTTGTTTTATTTATTTACAAAGGCATTTACATACCACTATCCAGAAAAGGTATCGGAGCCATTTACAACAATTGAATGTTAAACCACACAATCAAAACCACATTTTAAAAAGTTTAAATCAGAAATCGGTGAACTGTTTTGGAAATATGGATTCTTAATTGCCTTGCATAGGCCTGGCGGGAAAGTAATGTTTTCAGCAGGCACTTAAAAGTTGGCACAGAAGGAACCTGCTGAATCTCTTGTGGCAGAGAGTTCCACAGCACCAGGCCAATGAGACTAAAGGCTCAGCTCCTTGCTGTTGTCAGGTGGACCCCACCAACTTGAGGAATGGCCAGTGATGTTCCTGCAGATGATCTCAGTGATCGAGCTGGGATTTGAGGGTTCAGGAGGTTCCTGAGGTACTCTGGACCTAAGTTGTATGGGGCTTTGTAGATTAATACAAGGACCTTGAACTTGGCTTGGCAGTAGATGGGGAGCCAGTGCAAATGCTTGGGGGGGGGATTAGGAATGGAAAGAGGGCTCTTGTGCTCATTCCCCACTTGTGGGTTTCCTAGAGGCATCTGGGAGAATAGGATGCTGGACTAGGTGGGCCATTGGTCTGGTCCAGCAGCCACCATCTTCTTACTTATTATTTTATTTACTGCATTTATACCCCCCCTTTATCTACGGAGCTCAAGGTGGCAGAGCGTGGTTCCCCCTCTCCTCATTTAACCCCCACGGCAACCCTGCAAGGTAGGTTAGGCTGAGAGGTAGTCACTGCCCCCCAAGGTCACCCAGTGAGCTTCATGACCGAGTGGGGATTCGAACCCAGGTCTCTCGCAGGTTCTAGTCCAACACGCTAACCATTACACCACGCTGACTCTCAAGTTCTTACCTAGAGCTGCAATCTCTTGTGGGTGGTGAAGGGATGAGCTAGCTGCGAGGGAAACTGTTTTCTGTTAATAATTTTAATATTTCTTGTAAACTACTTGGAAGCTTTACTGTAGTCAAGCGGTATATATATATATATATATATATATATATATATTATTTTATTTTTAAATGATTTTTATAATCTTGCAGGCCAGAAGTTAGCCATCCCTGTTCTGAACTTTGGAGGGAGGAGAGAGACTTCTGAGTTTAGCAAATAAGTTGACTAAGAAAAAATCAGGATGGTTTATTGTAGGAAGACAGAGCTTTTACTCCTTTCTAAACTCTGCTACAAGATTCAATAGATGCCACTAGCTTAGACAGCTTTGGGTAAGAAACCCCCCCTTCCCCCAAATTCATGAAGGATGGTGGAGCTTCCAGGTTCAGGGACCGTCTACCTTTGAATACTTGCTGGGAGGAAAGGAGAAAGGAGGTTTGCTGCCTTCATGCATGTTTATAGGGCAGGGTGGGGGGCACGGGAGATGAGTTTATGGAACGAAGGATCCAGTGGCCCAAAAAAGTTTGGGAACCAATGGTCTGAAGTTTAATCCCATCCACCCCCAATCTCCAAAGTGGGGGTCAGTGGCAGCTGGGAATCCTATCTCTAATGCCCAAAGCATGATTTTGCTAGTGAGCACAGCTTAGCAGTTCCCATGCTATTGACACTCATTTTGAGCTTTTGATAACAGGTGACAAAGAACTTTCTTAGTGGTCCTTTAACCTAAAGAACAAAATGCTTTGTGGTTTTTAATGATAACAGTGCAGGGGGGGGGCACTGCAAAGCAAAACAAATGCGCTTTGGGAGTTGGCTTACGAGCATGCCCCTGTTTTCACTCTGGGTTGTAAGAGCCCTCGTTCCTCAATCAGATGCCCTCTGCCTGTTTGGAGGACTAAAACACCCCTCCATTGCTAGCCATCCTGGCCCTGCCAGATGGGTCTGTTGGAAGCTGGGGCTGCAATTGTAACCACCGTTATAATTATCCATATCCTTTTCCCCGGGCTGGGACTCAAAGTGATTTGCCCAAATTAAAATGACACAGATAAAAGACAAAAAGCTTGAAAGTTATAGAAGACAATCATTGAAAACTAACCAAGCTCTAAAACGAACTATTAAAATGCAAAATAAAATAAAATAAAATAAAATAAAATAAAATAAAATAAAATCCTTCCAGTAGCACCTTAGAGACCAACTAAGTTTGTTATTGGTATGAGCTTTCTTGTGCCTGCTCATACCAATAACAAACTTAGTTGGTCTCTAAGGTGCTACTGGAGGGATTTGCTTGTTTCGACTACGGCAGACCAACACGGCTACCTACCTGTTATTAAAATGCAGAGGTTAAAAACAGTACAGGACTTCTGGGTCATAGCTGTCAACTTTCAGATTTGAAAATAAGGGATCAGCAGCCTCTCCTGTCCCGGGGACAGTCTACGGGATATCTAACAATCCGGCATAGCAGCGGGAAGCAGCAGGAAACGGCGCTGGAATAAGGGAATTTCCCACAAAAAAAGGGAAGGTTGACAGCTATGATCTGGGTGGGGGGTGCCCAGTTGGGAAAAACTGTTCTAGAGGGGGAAACAGGCCCCTCCCAGGCCTGCTGCATTCGGGGCAAATTGGCAACTTTCGCCAGCCCCATCTTGCCCCTCAGCATCTCTCCCATCCAGAAGAGCCAGACCTTTGCAGGTGGGAGGAGTCCGTTGGCTGGACGGAGAGAGGAAATCAGAAACATTTCGCTCTGGAAATCTTATCCCATCCTGGTCAGCCAGGAAGCGCCTTGGGGCAAGGCAGGGGAAGGCGAGGAGAGGAACCAGCGGCTGGCCACCTTCCTTGTCCGACAGAAAGGCCCCTTCTTCGCCCCAGGCGACCAAGCCCCAGCTGAGCTTGGGAACAACCACCCTCCCTGTCTCCCGTCCTTTGGGGGAAGGAACAGCCAAGCACAGCATTGCAGAGGAGGCACATCAACACCCCTGTCAGCTGGCCGTGACCCCAACAAATATTACCATGATTTATATAATTGTAAAGTTGGAAAGAATCCCAAGGGTCAGCTTAGGCAAGCCGCTCAGAATGCAGTTAGATGGCACTTATATCGTGACCAAAGCTGTTCCAACAACCCTGTGGGGTAGGCCACATTGTCCCCATAACTTTTCTTTACGCTTTAAATCCTCCAGCAGGCATATCCAAAGTCGGTTTCAGGGGCCTAATCTGGCCCACCAGTCGTTTAATCTGGCCCCTGTGGCAGTTTATTTCCTGGGGTAAAATCCTACAAAAATCTCAACAACTTCAATCCTCAAAAAAAAAAAAAGGTCAACAACTTTGGTTGGACCTCATGGCTCTTCACTTCATCAAATCTGGCCCTCTTTGAAAAAAGATTGGACACCACTGTGGGAACAAAAGGCAGTTTCTCTCCTAGGCTTTTCTACCCCTGTGGGGTAGAAGGGGGGGGCAGGCATCCCACCTCCAATACTGAAGATAGCACATGCCCACCATGGCTGGCAGACACTGGTCCTCTCATTTGCCATGAAATTGCTCAATGAAGTTGAATTAGCCTGACCTAAGGTGCTTTGTGGGACGCAGGTGGCACTGTGGGCTAAACCACAGAGCCTAGGACTTGCCAATCAGTGGTTCGAATCCCCGTGACGGGGCGAGCTCCCATTGCTCGGTCCCTGCTCCTGCCAACCTAGCAGTTTGAAAGCACGTCAAAGTGCAAGTAGATAAATAGGGAAGGTAAATGGCGGGAAGGTAAATGGCGTTTCCGTGCGCTGCTCTGGTTCGCCAGAAGTGGCTTAGTCACGCTGGCCACATGACCCGGAAGCTGTACGCCGGCTCCCTCGGCCAATAAAGCGAGATGAGCGCCGCAACCCCAGAGTCAGCCATGACTGGACCTAATGGTCCCTTTACCTTTAAGGTGCTTTGTGGCACAAGGCAGGCATCTCTTTCAGGCCCAGGCTGCTAGTTTTTATAGTGGAGGGTGTCTGATATACAGTGGTACCTCGGGTTAAGAACTTAATTCGTTCTGCAGGTCCGTTCTTAACCTGAAACTGTTCTTAACCTGAAGCACCACTTTAGCTAATGGGGCCTCCCGCTGCCACCGCGCGATTTCTTTTCTCATCCTGAAGCAAAGTTCTTAACCTGAGGCACTATTTCTGGGTTAGCGGAGTCTGTAACCTGAAGCATCTGTAACCCAAGGTACCACTGTACACCATAAAAATAATTTCAGGGCAGGCTGCATCATTAAACTATATAAAGTCAGCAAGAACAACCTTATGAAATCTATAGGACACAACATAAAATAAAGACCACCATTCCTCCCTTGGTCATCCTGTGATAAATAGGCCATTCTTAATTCAAGAAGAAACTCTGGCGGAAGAGGGATGTTTTAGTCTGGGTTCTTCAGTAAATGGGCTCCTTGCCCCCCCAGCTCAGCATAATTCACGCCAGCCACTCCTCTCCCCTCCTTGCCAGAATACCAATTTCCTTTGTTTACACAAACACAAAATTTCTTCCAGTCGGCGTAAACCTGGCTCCGGGCAGGACTTCTTTCAGGACAAAAAAACAAACCCACTTATGTTCTGACTTTGAGAACAGCGTAACGCGAAGCAGACGTCTTGCCTGCTTGGCAAATTGGCTCGCTGGGACATCCGAAAAAGAGAGAAAGAGGGTCTTCTTAACAAAGACATCAGAGAATGGCAGCAGCTTTGGGGCAGTTTTTGGTGGGCAGGCTTAGGGTAACAGGGACTGGGCGTGATGTGAGTTGAACTATGGTTTGTGGACTACAGTCGACTCAACGCCATCAGTTCCATAATGAAGATAGGCAGCATAGAAATGAACTTAAATGAAATAAATATGTAAAAGGATTATGGGGGGGGGGAGGGGGACCATTTTGAGGCAGAGGGTCAGATTACCTGAATGGAATAGGGATAGACAGGGTCAGATCCAAAAGTGGTTGTGGCCACATTCACACAGCCATACACATTCCCAGTACACAAACACACACACACAATGGGTAGAGTTAGTGAGTGGTTTCTTGGGTTTCGGTGACATTCAGAGAACAGTGGTTTATTCAATGCTTTTAACTTTAAGCTACTGCAAAGTTACAGAGCTGGTAAATTCTAATCTGTTTAAGCACCTTATTAAAAAAATATATGCAAAAGAAGAATGAATTATACAAAATTTACAATGGAGAGGAAAAAGCCAGATGTACAGAGTTTGCAAAAAAAGGTGTTCCAAAAGGCAATAAACAATATCTATTTCACAGTAAATCTATACATATTTGTGGCATTAATTTGTTTTTTAGAAGTATGTTCTAAAGTGGTTTCTTATGTACATTAAGGATACATATTTAGAATCCGATTGTGGTTATATTGGTGGCTCTTTTTCTTATGTTTGTACATCTAATTAAATAGTAGCAATATATTATAGGGTGTTTTTTTAAAAACCTTTTACAAATATTTTTACCCATGATGCTCAAAGTATCAATGAGTCTCTTGTGCACTCTCTACATAATGAAGTGAATGTTCTTAATGCAGGGTGGAAGGTGGCAAAGGGCCTCTTGCAAAATCACATTTTACATTCTAGTCAATGAGTATTAACACAATAGGTGTGGGAAATGCAAAACAGGTGTACTTTTAGGTATGTCTAGCCTGGAGAAGGAAAGACTGAGAGGTGCTATGATGGTCATTTCCAAACATCTAAAAGGCTGTCAGATGGAAGATGGAGCAAACTTGGTTTCTGCTGCTCCAGAGGGGAGGACCCAAACCAATGGCTTCAAAGTACAAGAATGGAGATTCTTACTAAATTTTAGGAAGGTGGTGGACTTTCATTGGAGGTTTTTAAACAGAGACTGGATGGCCCTCCGTCAGGGATTTTAAAGCTGTGTATTCCTTCATTGCAATGGGTTGGACTAGATGTCCATTGGGTTCCCTTCCAACGCTACAATTCTATGATTTAAATACACATGTTGGAGTTGAGTATCATTTAAATTGGTGGGACTGACTTCTGAGCAACATGCATAGGATCAGGTTGTCTAAATTTTCCAAAGTGCCAGTTCTTACAGAAAGGCAGATAAGTCCTTTCTTTTTAAACCCCGTGAAAGTTCTAATCTACAGGGCTCTTGAATTCATTTTACAAACACTGGAAATTCCCAAACGGTCCATTTGGACTTTTGAAGAACTTATTATGGGCAGCAAAACTTTTTTCTTTGCGGCCACGGGGCCTGCCTTAATGTTATGCATTTTGCGAGAAAATTGTGTATTTGTTCTTGTCCTCCCACACAAAGGGCTTCCACTGGCTCCGTTCCACAATTCAGAATTAAGATGCCATTCGCTTGACTGACGCAGGTTTCGAGTTGTATTTCCTGAGGCCAAGCCCAAAATTAAGCCCAGATGGAAGGCTTGGAAGCTTCAGTTCCCTCCTCTACCATCCCCTGCTGTATAACCAATTTAATCTAGCTGAGATGCAGAGAGGGCGGAAACTTCTTCACGCAGCACGGAGTTAAATTATGGCACTGGCTCCCACAGGAGGCAGGGTTGGCCACCATCTTGGATGGCTTTAAAAGAGGATTGGACAAAGTCATGATGGAAAGGGCTATCAGTGGCTGCTAGCCAGGATGGCTAGCCTCTGCCTTCATGGTCAGAGGCAGCGATGCTTTTGAAGACTAGTTGCTGGAAACCACAGGAGAGGAGAGGCCTTGTGTGCTCCATTCCTGCTTGCTGGTTTCCCGCCGGCATCTGGCTGGCCACTGTGAGAACAGGATGCTGGACTTGATGGGCCCGATCCAGCAGGCTCTTCTGATGCTCTTATATGTGTGCAGCAGGTGAAGCCAGCTGCAGTCATACAAGGCTGGATTCTGCAAACTGGGAAACCTTGTTCTGCTTCCAGTGGCTTCCTCATGAGAGGACTTCAACTGCCCGCCCACCGCAGAATAGGAAACGGTTGGTTGCACCATCTCAACAGAAAGGGAGCCATATCTGTCAGAGTGCCAGACACAATCTAAGCCAGGCTTCCTCAAACTTGGCCCTCCAGATGTTTTTGGCCTACAACTCCCATGATCCCTAGCTAGCAGGACCAGTGGTCAGGGATGATGGGAATTGTAGTCTCAAAAACATCTGGAGGGCCGAGGTTGAGGAAGCCTGATAAGCAATGCACTATGTCAGAGGTGTCAAACTCAAATTCATCGGGGGCCGCATCAGCAGTTTGGTCGCCCTCAAAGGGCCGGTTGTATCTGTAGGATGGCATGCGCTCAATATAAAAACAAGTGGAGGTTTCCTGTGTAGAACGGCTGGCGCCACTAGAGGGCAGACGTTCTCTGGCTTGTAGGCTGCCGCGCATGTGCTGAAGAGGCGGCTTTCTTGTGTCAAAAAAAAAAAGCGAGAATAAAAGGTGAAGGCTGGCGGCCAGCGGCAGCTACACGGGCCACATGACGAGGTCTGGCGGGCCGGATTCGGCCCGCGGACCTTGTGTTTGACACCCGTGCACTATGTGATTCCTTGAAGTATCCCAGAGGTGCAAACACTTATGACACATGGTGTGGCTTCTGGTAAGAATAGGACAAGATTCTCTCTCCTCTCTCTCTTTCTCTCATTGCTTATTTCACTTCTTCTTCTTCTTCTTTTGTTCATCTGATAAATATAAATTTATCAAGCATTTTCAGGGCAGCTCACAAAATTTTAAAAGGATGACAATAAGATTGTTAAATCAAGTTAATCAACCCAGTCAGTTGCAGTCTCCCTCACAGGGTTGTGGGGTGGGGCAAGTCAGGAAACAGCACAGCACTTTGTAAATGATCTACAGTCCTTGCTTGCAACTTGCTTGCATTTGACTTGCACAGTTGCAGCTTCACAAACTTGGCAGGTCAGAGAGATTAAAATCTCTTTCCACTGTGGGCTTTCCTGCCGCACTGAGAGCTTTTCATCTCTCAGGCTTGCTCTGAGAGCTTCCCAGAGCCTGGGAAGCAAGGCGAAGAGCTTAAAAACTTGCTGCTTTGCTCTGGGCTGGGTGGGACAAGGCCTGTTTGGTGCACTGGCTACACAAAAGTAGGGTTGGTCACACAGGGGTGGTTCTGGGGTTGTTCTAGCTACACTCAGCTTTACACACAATCTCCGAACCTAACCCCTGCACAAGTCATGAGTTGATTGTCTCTCTCTAGGGTGGAGAACCCTCGCAGTCAGAATGAGGTGGGCTGGGAAGGAGGAGGTATCTGCCACGGCTAGTTCTTGCAAGTTGCTTCTTCAGCTGTGCCTCCAGGGTGAAGGCCCCTTTCTTGCTCAAACCATTTGGCTTAAATCTGCACCCCAAATTCCTGGCGCAGGTTCCCCGTTATTTCAATTTCCACCCAGACTAATGTTCGGACAAAAGTTGAAACGCAGATGAAGGCCGGCCTCCCAGACTGGCTGTTTACAGGAGGCGGCCTCTGCCGTGTCACGCAAGGCCCCTGGCCACGTTGCCAGCCCTGAGGCTGCCTTGAATGGTCAGCATCTGTGCCTCCAACACAGATCCAGCCTGCCCAACCTCTCGCTCAATGCTTCCTTGTTCTGCAAAGCTGGCAGCCATCTCCGTTGGGCGTTATCATGCCAAGATCACAGCCACAGGCAGAGGCATGTGACGACTGTTCTGCCAGCTTAATCCCATCCACACCCTGCAAGCTAAGTGGAGCGTTGAGCCAGCTGTGAAACTTCTTGAGAGAAAGCCACCTGAGGGCACATCTGCACAAGTGACTTACACCGGCCTAACCCTTCCTCTCCCCCGGGGAGCAGGGAGTTCTGAGAGGGAGGCATGGAAGGAATGTCCTCTACCTCTACGAGAGAATCTTTGGCAGAAGCCAGCTCTCTCTGATCACATCCAGATGACCTGTTTCTTGAGCTTTCGTCCTCATTTGTTTGCACAAAGTCTTTGAGGAGGATATAGAAACATCAAATTGTAGAGTTGGGAGGGAGCCAAAGGGCCATCTTGTCTCAATTATGTTCATTGCTTATTGAACAACAATTGCTTTGGGCAGAGGTCATGCAACAGGCGTCATCGACACAGTGCCCATGGACAGCATGTTGCATGCGTCTTAGTATATATCTCCTCAAAACTCACAATGCACAAGAGGTCATTTATTCTTCCTGCTCAGATCCTGTTTGCACAGCCTCAGCCAATCCAACAACATGCTCCCTTAGCTATGCCTTCCTTTCACTGGTTGCCAGGATTGGCACTGGGTGCCCACCTTCCCACAAGTGTGGCAGCTGATGTAGGTTGCTTCCAACCCATTGAAGAAGAAGACTGCGCTGGGGAGAGCATGCCCACACAAAGATGTGGTCCTCCTGTCTCTCTTTGCTGCTCTTTTACATGTGGCAGCCATTTTGTGCTGTGCCACACCTCCAGGGCAGCCATTTTGTGACTGACGCCTACAGCACTTTCTCCAAACTTTTGGTGGGGTCCCCCATTACAATGTCACATCAAGTAACCACTATTGTACACTTGTCACTTGAAACCATTTCTCCAGAGCCAGGAGAAAACAAGTTTCTTCCATGTAACAGCCCTTTATATATTTGAAGATGGCTGTCATACCTCTTCTTTCTGGAGTTCTCAAAAGCTTTCATACACTATTTTGTGTTGTTTTGGTTGGCCTAATTAAGCCTATTGGCCTAATAATGGCTTGGGGTTGTATTATTTTTATTTTATTTATTGCATTTATATACCACTGTTTCCTCCAAGGAGCTCAAGGTCATCTGCCTGTTTCTCCCCTTCTTCACAACAGCCCTGTAAAGTAGGTTAGACTGTGAAGCAGTGACCGGCCTCCAAGGATTCCCAGGGAGCTTCGTTGCGGAGTGGGGATTCGAACCCTGGCCACCCAAGGCCTAGTCTGATGCTCTAACCACTACACCACACTGGTTTTCATTTGAACTCTTGCCTCTTTCTTTCTTGTGAGGCAGGACAACTGAGCCTGGCTGATAAGACCAGAAAAGGTGCAAAGCAAGGGAACCTGGCTGGGGCCGGGGGTTGTGGGTGTTTCTTCAGAGCACCTTCCCGTCCCTCGCCTTGCCAGAGAGCTGGGGTTGCCTGAGGGACTCGGCCACAAGGCAAATAAAGCCTTTCTTCTCTGTTCAAATAGGCAGAGCTCAAATTCTCATCCAGCCCTTGTTGGCGTGAAATGGAAAAGGGCCAGTTCAAGATAATGGATTGTGCTATCAAGTTATTGCTTAACAAGGAAAATAAATAGTACCCAGCCCTTGTGTACACCCCTCTCAACGGGCGGACAGGTGTTTTGGTGTCCAGTTAATTCATCCAGGTCTGACTCTTGCTTCTTCTGGTTCTTTTTCCCCCACAGACCATGGGTGGTTCCCCGAAATCTGGCCACAAAAAGGCTGTTTACCTGCAGTGTTTACCCCTCCCCAGTTTAGACGTGCATTTATGCTGCTCAGGGTGTCGGATCATGCCCACAGAGCACCCGACTGCTTAAGTCTTTAACAGGATTCTTTAGCTGAGATCTGTGCATTGCAAGGGGTTGAATTGGAGAACCCTGCAAGTGTGGTTCTAGGCCAACAAGTGACTGCTTTGTGTCTCCCTTTATACAACTCACCAAGGGAAAGGCTTAAGTTTGTTTCATAATTTCCTGGAAGATCAACCAGATTATTTCAGAATTAATGGTTTCTGGCCAGTGTGCACGTGTTTGTAACCTGGCACAGGGCTTCCAAGCTGCGGTCCAGGCAGCACCAGCTGCCCATGAGCTTCATTCAGGTGGTCATAGGGACTCTGTGGATTTGTAGTTGGAGACAGCAGGCAGCCCATCCATCACGCTAAATATTCATGTTGATTTTTAATTCTTGAAGTCTCCTTGTCTCAGACCACTTTAAACTTGGTGGACCACTCAGTGCTTTTTCTGTCTTTTCCAGCAACTGTGCTGTGCTGTGCTAGATTAGTCATAGCATCATGGAATCCTAAAATTGGGTGGGACACCCAGCGACCATCTAGTCCAACCCCCTGCGATGCAGAAATCACAACTAAGGAATCTGACAGATGGCCATCCAACCACCGTGTAAAAACTTCCAGTGAAAGAGAGTCTGAGATGCCAAATGATTTCCAATCAATTTTTTCTGCTTTTATTTATTATATATTGCACTTAAAGCCTGGCTTCCTCTCTCACTTCCAGGCATCACCTCTGCTTTCCATGTGTGTTTGTGAAAGGTGGGTCTTGAGGGCATGATATCTGCATTTCCAAGGGTCAAACAAAGTCTTCTCTTCCTGTTAGTCTCCTCCAGGTATCGTCCAGGGGGCCGTTGAAGTGGCGATAAAAAACGGCTACCGGCATATCGACTGCGCCTACTTCTACGACAACGAGGGGGCCATCGGGGAAGCTTTCGAGAAAGTGTTGAAGGAAGGGCCAGTGAAGAGAGAGGACCTTTTTGTTGTCAGTAAGGTGAGCTGCTCTGCTGCTGCTGCTGCCAAGCGGCTATGAATACAAGTCCCTGGGGGAGGCTGGGTCTGAAATAAGCTTTGAAAGCAAAATCTAAAAGTCTGAAGTTTCTAGTTCAGAGCTTCAAGTTCAAATTTCAGAGACTGGATTTCCAAATTTGCATCTTGGTTATATAAAATAATAATAATAATAATAATAATAATAATAATAATAATAATAAATAAATACCCTGCCCATCTGGCTGGGTTTCCCCAGCCACTCTGGGCAGCTACCAACAAAATATTAAAATACAATAGTCCGTCAAACATTAAAAGCTTCCCTAAACAGGGCTGCCTTCAGATGGTTCTGTTTCCCATCATTTGGTGGATACAAAGGCAAGGAAGTTTACCTTATTTATCGCTCCTCATTTGTCTCGTGTTTTTCCAGAGAAGATCCCACCATTGTATTTAAGCCTTTGAAAAGAAAAGCTTTTTTTAAAAAAAAAAATTACAGCAATATGTAAATAAAATTTCCAATTATTTTGAATTCATGCAAACTTTTAGACATGCACGCACAAATTCTGGTTGGGGAGACGGCCTGTGTCCTGTGATGCTCTGAGGAACAAGAAGAGCAAGGAGGGCTGGTGTCCCAGAGGGGCCTCTGGCCTGATCCAGACACAATGCACTTCTAATGTTCTAACATGCATGTCTCCTCGGACTTACTTGAATGCTCTTCCTTTGGCAGCTGTGGAATAGCTACCACGCTCCTGAAGATGTGAAGCCAGCTTGCCTGGAAACCCTGAAGCTGCTGCGTCTGGATTACCTGGATCTCTACCTGATGCACTCTCCCATGGGCATTAAGGTGAAATGGAAGTCTGCCCGGCTGTCCTGAGCAGCTCATTCTTCCAGCTGTTTCCCCAGAAAGGTCTCTCTTCTGGAAATGCCCTGCTCTATCTAATCTGGAAGTCCCCACCCGATAGTCCTTGACTGAGCCAAGTTGGCGGGGGCGGGGGCGGGGGGGGACCCTTTGCGGCTACACAGGAGTCAGGGAAATGCACTCTGCATCTGCTCAAGGGCATTTATGTCTATTTGCGTTTCGTACGTTTCAGTAGCACCAAGTCTTGCAATGCAGAATAAAGGCTGCCTTTGGTCGGCTGGCAGGTTCAGTGTGGGAAGTTTGGATATTCACAGGTGGGGCTCACCTGAAGCAATGAAGCAATAGGCAGGCAGATCTGCCCCATGGAGAGGGATCCATGGGGCGGCTCCTCTGCACGAGCCTTGCAGAAATGAACAGGACCTGTGCAAGAGGCCGGCAGTCGTGTCCCGTTCATTTCAGTATGGCTCTTGCGCGAGCAGAGCTTTCCAAACTGTGTGTTGCGACACGTTCGTGCGTCGGCTACAGTGTGTAAATATGCCATGTGAATGCTCCCCGTGCTGCTCCTGAGGCTGGAAAGGGGTATAACCTCTGGTTTGCTTGTATAACTGAATTGCCGTGTCGCCGAATGATGCGAAACTGAATGATGCATGTCTACAAAGTGTCACACCAACATGAAAAGCTTGGAAAGCTCTGTGCTAGAGGAATAATCTGTGTCTCAGGTTCATCAGGAGGGAAACAGGCGCCACCTGGTGGCAGCTGCATCCCTTCCTGGTGGCGGTGGCCTGTTTGTGTACCGCATTTTGCATGACTAAATACATTTGTGCTCCAATCAGTTCACATTCTATTTGATTATTGATCTATTAAATTTATATACCGTATTTTTCGCTCTATAAGACGCACCAGACCACAAGACGCACCTAGTTTTTGGAGGAGGAAAACAAGAAAAAAATTATTCTGAATCTCAGAAGCCAGAACAGCAAGAGGGATCGCTGCGCATTGAAAGCAGCGATCCCTCTTGCTGTTCTGGCTTCTGGGATAGCTGCGCAGCCTGCATTCGCTCCATAAGACGCACACACATTTCCCCTTACTTTTTAGGAGGGAAAAAGTGAGTCTTATAGAGCAAAAATACGGTACCGCCCTTCATCCAAAGATCTCAGGGTGGTTCACAAAATAAAAACACAAAATACATAATAAAGACAAGAACAAGGAAAACCCATAACGCCCCCCCCCAACACATTTAAAAGCACATGGAATGTCCTTTTAAATAACTAGCGGGGGTGCGGGTGGCGATGGTGGGCTGAAACGTGGGAGCATTAGGGAGGGGGTGCCCTGGGAAGGCAGGGGAACAGGCAAGCAGACCGACAGAGGAGGAGGGGAGAGGGGGAGCAGGGCAGCCCCCCCCCCATGGCTGTGGAGGAAGTCACTGGCGGGGTGCAAAAGTTCAAAAGAAAAATAAATAAAGAATAGTAAAAAAGCAGTGCACTCTCCCCCTCACACAGAACATCTCCCAAAGTTCATGTGGGCTGATTGAGGAGCGGATTTTGGCGGTGCCCACTTGCTAGGGCACCTTCCACACGGGCTTTAGAAAGATACCCACTGCTGACCAATCCTCTGTCCTGCTCTCTGCCATGCTCAGCGCTCATGGGGCACCGCCACTGCCACTTGGGTAGATTGCCGAGCTGTTGCCCCTTCGTCCCAGCCTATCAGCAGGTGGTGCCAAGGAGCTCCACCCCACGCTGCTCTCCCCCTTTGCCAGCTGGTGCTGCTGGTCTCAGGGGGGCTGCAGAGGTGGGGGGGCTGCTGGGGCAAAGGTCTCAAGGGGTTCAATCTGCGCACATTGAAGATAAGATAAGAAGTCTGTGTGGTGGAGTCTTTCATTGACTTTATTCAGTACTGGACTGGTGGACTCAGGGAGTGCTCATGGGTCAGGGGGCACAATACTTGCCTTGCCCCGGGCCCTGGCAACCCACACTATGCCACTGGGACCGATACGTCTCCTTGCCAAGGGCGCAAGGGAGCTTAGGTACACCTGCTGGGGGGAGGGCATGCCTTGATGGCTAGCACAGTCTCTCTCTTCCTCATGCTCTCATTCTCCTTTGTGTAGAACGTCAAGGGTGATACCTTGCCCCAGAAGGATGGGAAGGTTCTGCAGACTGATGTTGATTACGTGGACACATGGAAGGTAAGCGACAACCACTGTGCCTCTTGCCACAAGTTGCCTGCTGGATCAGAGTCCAGCTGATAGAGATACTGCCAAGGAAAGGGGCTCCTGACTTGGGAGTAAACCCCACTGAATTCAGTGGGCCTCACTTCCAGGTAGTCATGGCTAGCCTTACATTGTCATGTTCCTGTCCTAGGGCCTAGTTCACACACAGACTCATAGTAAGCAAGAAACACAGGCAGCTTTTTAGAAAGTCCAGCTTGGATCCCTGGTGGTGGGAGAGAACAATGCTGCGAGGGCAGCTCACCTTTCTAAAGTCTCTCCCCCCCCCCCCATCTTTGGAGGGTTGTGACTTCTGACCAGTAAGACGCTGAGTTCGTTGGTCAGGTCCTGCACCTCTCCCATAGGCCTCCTAAGCACCATTTTTGCAGAGACTGGCAGGAGATAAGTGACAGACTAGCCTAGAGAAATGGCGGGGGCAGGGTGGGGCCCTTCTTCACAGCCCACGCCACCTCAAAACACACAGGGCTACCACTTCACACCTTTGTCTACCAGCCATCGTGTGTAGAGAAAACACAACCGGATCTTCTTCCCTCCCATGTTCCTGTTGCCTCTAGAGTGACCTTTGCCGACCTGGTGCCCTGCAGATGTTTTGGACTACGACTCCCATCACCCTTAGCCAGGGACCAGCTGCTCTTAAACTTTTGGACTTGTCCCTTTTCTTGCAGGCTATGGAGAAGCTGGTGGATGAAGGTCTGGTGAAGTCTATTGGGGTGGCCAACTTCAACCAGTGCCAGTTGGAGCGGCTGCTCTCCATCGCAAGGATTAAGCCAGATGTTCTCCAGGTATCGTTCTTCTTCTTCTTCCATTTGGAAGTGTCAGAATTGTATCCAATAGGAGGGAGGCCATGTTAGACAGCCTTGACCATGGGTTCAAATTCCCACTTGCTTGAGGATGCACCTGGTGGCCTTAGAAGCTCATGTTATGATCTCCCAGCATTTGCTCCCTGGCTTTATTGATATGTGCCACCCCAATCTCCAAGCAGTGAGAGACTCCAGGGGTTCCACATGCGTAGCCCGGGTTTGGTTTCCTTGTGGTGTTTTTAGGATATATGGTGTAATTTGCACATCTATACAACCTGAGTGTAAGATGGAGGAGCTCACAGCATCAGCACCCCAACAGATCTTGCTTCTCCATGAGTCACAGCTTTGGATCCAGCACAGAGCAAGCTGGTCTCTGTTTCTCTATCTTCCAGCCTGCTTCCAGCTCAGCTCTGTCTCTCACACTCTGGCTACTGTTCTCTTACCTAGCAGCTAGTGAGCAGGTGGAGGAAACGCCCACCATCACTTGTAGTTCTTTCAACCTAGCCCATTCTTTTGGGATGCTAATGAGGACACTTAAGTGGCCAGCTAAGGTCTTTGTCTTACAAAAAAGCTTGCCTGATAGGTCCAGCAACCTCTTCTGTTAGTTTGCCTACCCATGCTCTAGGCTCTCTCTTTCCTCCACAGGTGGAGCGGCACGTATACCAGATCCAGCGCGCGCTGATTGCTTTCACCAAGGCCAAAAAGATGGCCCTCACAGGATACAGCCCCTTGACATCCCCCAAGCGCCCCTTGTAAGACACTGTCTTTTGTACCTTAAGGGCCCCCTGTTCGCATCTTCAGTAGTTCCTCTGGCAGGCAATACTGGGTTGGGGGTGGGATGGCTAGCCTGCGAAGAAGGGCCTCTGCAGGTGGCTTGTGGGCTTGGCATGCGTCCTGATTTCCCTGCACAGCCTATGGCAGAGAATAGATTATATCCAGTCTCTATTGAGCATTCATTCTGTTTTCTTTGGGTTGGATATTTATATGACAATAAGCGTCCTGCCTCCATCCCAGTCCCTCCGCGTGTCATTTGGTCACACCACACTTTCCCATCCTCACCATGTTGCAAACCTCCCCTAGCAAACAACCCCCCCCTTTAAAGTGGATTGTTGTGCTAGGGCAACAGAACCTTTCAACTCACTTTAATGGTGCAGACACACCCCTACAGTTTGGGGGTGTGCTTGAATCCCTCCTGAAAAATAGCGAGAGTCTGGAGGCAACCTGAGTTACGTCAGGACACAGTTCTCCAGTGGAGCTTCATTCCTAGAATAAAGAACCAGGTGGAGTGGAGATGTCTTTAAGACATCCTCGCTTGCACTGAGCTGTTGGGAGTGAAGGAAGTGTCCCCCAATCTGGTCAGCTCTTGCATGTAAAAGGTACAAAACCAGAATCACTGGAGCAGTCAAGTCCTCAAAGGTGTTGTGCCTTGATTTACTGAGTTAAAAAGCAGATGATTAATCAGCTGATTAGATTCAAATGTGTGTTCATATTACTCTTCTTGAGACACCAAGGAAAGGGAAGATGATTTGTAATTTGATAAACAAAAACAACCATCTGTTAGACCTCTAATAACCTCATTTTCTCTTTAATTTATTGCTACAAACATTCAGCACAAGCAGAGTAGATTGAAAACCAGACCCATCAATTAAGATAAGATAATCCTCCAGATTAATTAGCTAAAGCTTTGGTTGCTTAATCCACATGCTGATAGCCCCGGGCTCCTTTGGAAGGGAGGCATAGACATTAAAAAAACTAATTGATTAAAAATGCAAAAGAAAAACAGCCTTAGTTTGAAAGGCTCTTTCCTCTCTAGCCCTCCAGGTCCTCTGGATCCTAAGAATGGCATGGAGGACCCTGTGGTGAAGGAGATTGCTAAGAAGCATGGGAAATCCCCAGCTCAGGTAAAGTGTTCCAGGTGTGCAGGTGTGTGTGGAGGTGTGTGCAAATAGTTGTGGTTCAAACAGAAAACGTCTCCTTTTTTGCAAGTTGACTGCTTGTGTCAGGAGTTACGACCCAAGATCAGAGGTGGGTGGGGAATACAGAGAGCAAGGCAACGGTACCAGTTTCGAAAGTGTTGTATTAATTTTGCTTGTCAAATAATTCCCAATCATGCAACACAGCTACTCAAGCGCTGCAAAGATTGTTTCTCTAACTAGCCAGCCAGCCTAGTATCACAGACGGATGGATGGAGGAGAACATTGGAGGGCAGCTCGCTGGGGTGCCGCAGAGCCCTTTCCCTCAAAATGTCTGCGTCTCTAAAGTACTTACCATTTTCCTGCCATTAGTTGTTCAGTCCAAGTCTCTTTGTTGACGAAGGCCCAAGTTGCATGGCAGGCTAGCTGACATTGCATAATCAGGATGCTGTTGCCGTTTGTGGAAGACCACTGCCCTGACTAGGCAATTTCAACCAGTCCTTGCCTTGACAAGCTGTAACTTCCAAGGAAAGGAGATCGCCTCAAAGTCAAAGCCCTGCTTATCTGAGATGGTTCAAATTGCTGAAAGCGGTTGTTGGCTGAGTTAACATCCAGTCAGACAGTTTCTCCTTCATTCAGCATGTGACTGGTTATATTTAAAAGAGTCATATGATAGAGATAATGGAAGCAAAAGTGTTGTGAATACATGAGTCCACAAGGTTTATTGAACAAAATAGCTGTTTTTTATCATGGTTCTTATTGCATGTGCAGTTTTTCTTGAGCTACTTCTACGGCTTCACGTGAGTTAGAAACAACAATAAAAAAATATCCAGTAAAACATTTTTAAAAACATAACAAAACACCATAATGCTTTAGAATGCCTCTTCCTGAATGGCCTCCTAATAAACAGCTTCAGGACCTAGGTCAGGCTCTGACTTTGGTGGATCTCTAGAAGGCCCCTTCCTAAACCACCTCTCTTTGTGCCTTTGCTCTCTGAAGTCAGTGCAGGAGCAAGGAACGGCCTTTGTTGTTGGTCTAAGGATTGGGGAGGGACCATAGACTCAGATATATAGCTGCAAATAAAACATTTTAAGTGTGCTTTAAGTGAAATATACAGTGTGACACTTAAGTGCCTCAGTGCCTAGGACCTGCCGATCGTATGGTTGGCGGTTCGAATCCCTGTGGCGGGGTGAGCTCCCGTCTTTCGGTCCCAGCTCCTGCCCACCTAGCAGTTCGAAAGCACCCCTAAGTGCAAGTAGATAAATAGGGACCGCTTACCAGCGGGAAGGTAAACGGCGTTCCGTGTGCTGCGCTGGCTCGCCAGAGCAGCTTCGTCACACTGGCCACGTGACCTGGAAGTGTCCGCGGACAGCGCTGGCTCCCAGCCTCTAGAGTGAGATGAGCGCACAACCCTAGAGTCTGTCAAGACTGGCCCGTACGGGCAGGGGTACCTTTACCTTCACCTTTACAGTGTGACACTGGATGGCGATGACGAGCCTTAGAGAAAATTCTATGTATTTTTAAAAGCACTTTAAAAAAAAGCATTTTCAGACCATTTTTTGTATGTGTGTAGATTTCACACATGAAGAAGCTCCCATGTTCAGTCCCTGACACTTCAGTTAAAAGATCTGATGGCAAAACTGGGAAAGACCTTCGAGAACTCTGTGGGCAAAGCAGATGATATTGGGCTACATCATCTCATCTGATCCTGTATATAAAACAGCTCCGAATCTTCACAAGGATGCACCAGGGCACAGAAGCTGTAGCACTAAGATAGGAAGGGGATGGTAGATTCTTACATGGAAGCTGAATTGACTGGCACTGCAGAACTGCTACTTGCAGTATCTTGGGGACATGAGTAAGAATCTCTTCCAGGTGAGCAGTTGGGGGAAGCTTTTTCTACAACTGACAAAGGAAGATAAGCAAAGCTGCCTTTCACAGAGTCAGACCACTGCTCCATCTAGCTCAGTACAGTGGTACCTCGGGTTACAGACGCTTCAGGTTACAGACTCCGCTAACCCAGAAATAGTACCTCAGGTTAAGAACTTTGCTTCAAAATGAGAACAGAAATCATGCGATGGCAGCGGGAGGCCCCATTAGCTAAAGTGGTACCTCAGGTTAAGAACAGACCTCCAGAACGAATTAAGTTCTTAACCAGAGGTACCACTGTACTGGCAACACTGGCCAGTAGTATTCAGGCAGAGACATCTCTCAGCCGTACCCAGAGAGGCCGGGGATTGTACCTGCAGAGACAGCGACTGCTTCTATTCATGCATCACTAACAATATCCACGGACGTATGCTGGCAGGCTATATTATTATTACTGATAATATTTATTTCTAACCACCTCCCTTTTCTGTTTAAAAACACACACATGAAGTGCTTACAGTGAAGGCTCAGTAAAAATATTTGCAAGGCCTTTGTGGTGGCTGTAGTGTTGACAGTGGAGGGGGCACTGACCGTCCCCTGGGTGAGGGCAGCTGGTTCAAGGCAAACTGGGTTGGTGGTCCTGGCTCTTGAAAAAGGCAGGTGTCCAAGTTTGTGATGATGAATGTTGCCAGTTCCCGGACACAGCAAGTACATGGAGAGTCCAAATGATGACCAGTCTCTCCTTATCGCCATTGTCTCCACAGATTCTGATCCGCTTCAACATTCAGAGTGGCATAGCCACTATTCCAAAAAGCCAGACACCTGCTCACATCATCGAGAATTCAAAGGTAAAGTAGACGTCAAGCTCTTTCTGCTAACACCTTTAAACGCTTCAAGATGCTGCAGACTGGAGGCTTAAAGGGCCGAAGTTTAGGATGCTACTTGAAGTATGAATTGTGTGATCTTGCTGTTAAGGGGGCGAGTAAGCCCATAGATATCAAAGCTCTTCTTTTGAAAAAGTGTACATGATTATTTAAATATTTGTTCCTTTGGACTGTTAAGCACTGAGAGTATACCACATATTTTAAATTCGCATGAAAATAAATATAAAAATGCAGCATTAAGCTAGATCTTGAAATGCCATGATCCATAATTCAACTATCTTGTATTCTGAGCAGACAAACTGGAAATTAATGGACATGACTAAATTGGGTCCATTAATCTCAGTGGAAATTACTTAGATGGTTATCACCCAAAAAGACCAGTATCACAGTTAAACAATATCAACTTAAAATGGCCAATTTATTTTTTTTTACAAAAGGGAGGGGTTCGCCTTTGTAACCTCAGCCAAATGGAAGGCCAAACACTGAGTCTTCAATGAATTTTGGAGCATGGGTTGTGAAAGTCTCTTATAACCCCACATAATTTGCCTCCCTCTGACTGGTGTCAAAAGGTAGTTGGGGTGCAGGAGAAAGCTGTTTCTAAAAAAATATCCATTAATATCTTTGCTACCAACTTGAAAGTAAGGGGGTTTAAAGTTTCTGTCTTGGATATCAGGCCTCCTTTTCAAAGACTGCACCTACTTGCACGGAGCCAAGCCAAGAAATTCCAAGCAAAAGTCATTGCTTCTGTTCTTTTATAGGTTTTTGATTTCCGACTGACGGATGAAGAAATGAAAAAGCTGGAATCGCTGCACTGTGGGGCACGGGCTGTGGCCTGGGACATCTTAGGGTGAGTCTGTGCGCTGAAAACATCGGACACTTTAGGGTGTGCGACATGTAATTATTTTATTGCCTTATATCTCACCTTTTTCTTAAAGATGCTCAAAGTATCTTTAATCCCAATTTAATCCCCACAACAACCCTGTGAGGTACGTTAGGCTGAGAGGCAGTGACTGGCACGTGGTCACTGATGGCCGAGTGGGGATTTGAACCATCGTCTCCCAGGTCCTAGTCCAATGCTCTAACCACTACACCACACTGGCTTCCCAGCACAACATGGAGAGCAAAGGTGCTGTCTAGGTGGATGAAACACCCACATTGGCCTCTGTTTGACCTGTAAATGGGGGAAATGTGGCTTTCTTGAGCTCTCTCCGGCTCAGTTTACCTCTGTAGAACAATTGTCATGAGGTTGCTGACAGTCAGATTGGCCAATGAAGATGGGTCACAGCTCCTTAGCGATAAACCCACCCACTGTGTTCAACAGAGCCAGCAACTCAAGTGCTCAGTGGCTGGGAAAGACTAAGCAGAGGCTTGACCTCTGAACTCACATAGGGGTGGCCAACTTTTTGGGTGAGCGTTCTGCAACTCAAAACCATAGGAGGCACCACTAACTTTGTTGGGTGCTTTGTTTGTTTATTTCATAAATTTTGTACCTCGCTTGATTGTTAAAAACACACACCAAAAACCTCAAAGTGGTTTACAAAAGAGAGAAAACAAAAAAATTACCAGTAGCAACAACTCCTTAAAACATTCATAAGATAAAACCAGCAATAAACCAAAAACAGATTAAAAAGCACAGCAACATTCTACATGTCTGGTTAGCCTTGTCTAAACAAAAATGTTTCTAGCAGGAGCCAAAAAGAGCACAGCCAAGTTGCCTGCCTGATAGCAATGGGCAGGGAGTTCCAGAGGGTAGATGCTGCCACACTTAACTTTAGCATCTCCACGCAGACACGAGGCTTTGTAAGCATTGTTTATATTTGGAAACAGCTGTATGTGGTAGGAACAACCAGCGGGTTTTTTTGTTTTTGTTTTGGAATCATAATAATAATTATTTATACCCCGTCCATCTGGCTGGGTTTCCCCACTCCGGGCGGCTTCCAACAAAATATTAAAAATACAATAAAACATCAAACATTAAAAACATCCCTAAACAGGGATGTCTTCGATGTCTTCTAAAAGTCAGATAGTTGTTTATTTTCTTGACATCTGATAGGAGGGCATTCCACAGGGTCAGTCCCACTACCAAGAAGGCCTTCTGCCTGGAGGAACAACCAGCGCTCACAGCAAAGCTTTTAGGTAGAAGATGCTGCAGGGCTGTCAGTGATTTAAGGAGTGTTGCTTTTCCTTGCAGGATGGGGACCCACAAGCACTACCCGTTTACCAAGGATGAGTGATTCTGCAAGCAACAGCGCTCACCCCTCCCAGGCTTCAAGGCATGGAAATAATGGAGACGGCTTCTGCATTTTGCATCTAACCAAAGCGAGTTGATTCTGCTCTCCCAAGGCTGACTGCTCCTTGCACTCCCTGTGTCCACTTATGGGGCATAAGTGAAATGAGCACGAGTGGTTTGTCTGCAGTGAGGTCTGGTGCTTCTGCTTCCGCTGGACTTGACCCTGCCCCACTGGCAGAGGAAGGGGGTGCGACAGGTGTGGCCTGCCCTAGGTGTCATCCCTGAGGGGGGGTGACATCAGCGTGCCACCCCCCTGGGAGTCTAGCCCTACCCCCAAATAAACAGCTTGCCCCACATGTTGGAGTTTAAATGCTTGACTTTATATGCACGCTCAGCTTTCTGAATCGCACCTGCAGTTTGAAAAGTTCTGTATGCTTGGGGTGAGGGAGAATGTTAAGTGTGTTCCATTTCCCCCCCTCTGAAAGTTCACTGAATGAAAAAAATAAAAATATTCTCCCATAGTACGATTACACGAGTCTCTTGACTTATTTGCAACTTCACTTTATTTCTGATTTGTAATTTGTTAAGTTGTGGGTGAACATATCAGACGACATAGCGATGCTTCAAGCAGCTCTTGTTTATTCAGAGGCCAGAACAGAACTGAACTGAAGGGCTCAGTCAACTTGCTCCAGCACCACGTAACTGTAACAATTTTCTAAAACTATCCGATCACTGAACGTCACTTTCAATCCCTTATTTGCATAACGATCTACAGTATCCCCCTGCTGGCCCAGGGTGAGAACTTCAGTACATAACATAATTAATACAGAATTATTTGACTTTTCATGTCAAAGTGCAAGTAGGTGCACTTCCAGCGGGAAGGTAAACGGCGTTTCCATGCGCTCCTCTGGTTCGCCAGAAGTGGCTTAGTCATGCTGGCCACATGACCCGGAAGCTGGACGCTGGGTCCCTCGGCCAAGAAAGCGAGATGAGCTCCACAACCCCAGAGTCGGCCACGACTGGACCTAATGGTCAGGGGTCCCTTTACCTTTATTTGTAGAGTTTAGAGATTTAACTTGAGGCTAAAGCAGGTATGATTGGACCGAGTCTCTGACCTGTTACAGAAATAGTAGCTAACGCCTCAGTCTAAAAAGCATTATCAGCATTCGGAAGGACTGGCTTCCATATAGCAGAAGCTGCAGCTACAAGCATAAATGTCAAGGCATAGGAGCAGAACTGTTACCTCGGTATTCCACACATCCAGCAGGGCTTTGACCATTTATGCAGCCAAGGACCAATGCTGAGCTGGGAAAAGGGGTTGTGGTCATATGTTCATTTAAATAGTGTAAATGGCAGGGTTAGAGGTGCCTGTTCAACAGCAAGTTTGAAACCATGCTCTTTTCTGTACTGCGCTGGGACAAGAAATCCTTTGTGAGGAAGTAATGAAGAAGAATTGCAGCCTTTGCTTCTCCCCGTCCTTTTATCAAAGGCAGCCTGGGATGTTGAACATACCTCCAACTGCAGCCTTTGTGGTTCCTGCTTAGGGCAACACTGCCTCCTAACGTTGCTAAGCAGTACTTGATTTTGCTTACAGTGGACCCTAGTCCAAACAGCAGGGGATGGATGGCCTGTTACAAACCAAGGTCTGCTGCTGCCAGAAATAGTAGCCCCTGGGTCAAGTTCAGTGTTCGAAACTCCCATTGCTCTAGGCACATTTTGCAACAGAGCAATTTGAGCTCTGGGCGCAGAACTGTGCCTAACATTTCGGATTTAAACTGCAGAGTGGAAGGAGGACCTGTTATTTGCCTCCCTACTTCCAGCTACTCTCTAAAGACAGGAGAAGAGACCCTCTTAAGAATATTAGGGGGGTGGGCAGGTGAAGGACCAGACCATGTGAAAAATGAACGTAATGTTTTAGCTGCAGTTCATTCATTTTCAGCTTTGTATTCTTGTTATAAAAAAAGAGCAGCTAGACATTCCATTGTTACACTCATAACACAGGTTTAAGGTGCCACTTAGCTGCTAGCTTTCATATCTCAGTCAAGTTCTTCCCTCTCCTCTCCCTAACATTTAATGCCATCGTGCCACCTATTTTCCTATCAATTTGCTTCACAACACTGAATGGTCTAAGATCATTTGTACTAGAGAAACGGGTGTTGATGTCCTTGGGAAGCTGTAATTCTGCCTGATATCTTTTTAAATGCCACTGGTTGCTCACAGTGCAGTGTGTGCTTAAATCATGTCCATGCCATGAGTAAGACTTAGTGCTCTACTTTGCCTGGACCCTGCTTGGTGTCTCTGTTCAAGTGCTGAAGAATGCAGTACTATCATTTGCAAACTCCACACATCCTTTGTCCACAAAGAGGTCTGAATTTGGTTCCTGGTGCACAGACCAGCTGATGCATTCAACCTGTGCAAAGTCAGTTCACTTGCAGGAGTTTGCAGTAATTGCATAGGTAATAAGTGGATACAAACCCCAACAACCCAGAAATTCCAGCCTCAGTTTTGCTTTTGTGTTTTTGGAAAGTTCACTCTAGGGGTGACTCAAAGCAGGAACTGTGTGAATGGGAGAAGGCTCAAGCTTGCTGGTGTTTATCTGAGAGACTGAACTCAAAACATTGGAATTGGTTCAATTTAGTTTATTGTAGAAATATATTGCAAAATATGCCAGTAAGGGGATAGTAATTAGCCAAGGCAACCGAGCACCTGGACATTCTGCTCCACCCTCACCTGTAATCTGTCAACTGTGCAAAATAGGGTGGCGGAAAAAACCAGCAATCATAGGTCAGCGAACAGGTGAGTCTCAGAGTAGAAGTGGAGAGTGCATGAATTAATTTTGTCCCATGAAGCGACTGAAAATGCTGTTTCAAAGGAAAGAGGCAGAAGTTTCTAGTGCAGCTGCTTGAAAAGAAGTGGGTCATTTGTAGTGAAGCCCCGCTGCATTCCGGCTCCTGGTGTGTTCCCCAGTCAAATGGCTAACTGATACCCGCAAAGGCTGACCAGCTACAGGGCAAGGGTTGTGCAAACCAAGCTGTGCAAGAACTGCATGATGAGTTCAAGGGAAGGTGATGGTGGTGAGAGGCATAAGCTCCAGCGTCTGTTCAAGGGAAGTGCGCTGCTCCTGGTAGTCGGTGGTGTGACCATTTCTGTAGTGGCCATATTCAAACTTAATCCTCAGTTCACCAATTTTTGACTGGGGGAGGATATCTGGAATCCACTCAATGATGAAAGGCGTCGGTTCCTTCTGATCAGGGGATGTGTTGCCTGGGAGGAAGGAAGCCAGAAAGAGGAGCACTTTGGACCTTCTTTCCCCATTGTGTGTGAAAAAAACCCAAGTTTCTCCAAGAGGAGGGTTGGATTAGCTTCCAACTCTACAAATCTGTGAGCTGGTGGGAAAAGAAGGCTCCTTCGAGGTGCAAAGGGATCAGCTTATACACCTACCGACTTTCAGGAAGGTTTTCAGCTCCAGAGGCCGGAGGACTGGCTGCTTCTCCAAGCGCCCGTAAGTGTCTGGGATGCTCTCCACCTCCACTTTGGGGCACTTAAAGGGCTCGTAGGTGCCATCCTGGTTCTGGATGAAGCTGTGTGTTATTTTCAGAGGCATCTGGGAAGAGGAGTTGGGAATGGGAGATGAAAACACAGGATTTCTGAACAGGCAAATGAGAGTGGCATCCCTTTGCAAGAGGCCCTTTGTAAGCCCAGAGTTTGATCCTCACCCTGCAGAAACCAGGATGCCAAAGTTCTGGGAGTTGAGTAAGAACCTAAGAAAAGCCTCGCTGGATCAGGCCAGTGGCCCACCTAGTCCAACATTCTGTTCTTACAGTGGCCAACCAGATGCCTGCGGAACCTTGCAAGCAGGACTTGAGCACAAAAACTCCCCTCCTGTAGTTTCCAGCAACTGGTATTCGGAAACATTGCTGCCTCCGACTGTGGAGGCAGAGTCGAGCCATCAGGGCTAGCAGCCACCAGGAGTCCTCCCCTCCATGAATTTCTCTAACCCTCTTCCAAAATCATCACAACCAGTAGATCATAAGAGAATTATTATAGGAAGCTCATGCTAACCCCCAGAGGCCAGTTCCCCAAACTTTTAATCCCAGGATGCAAAATAAAATGTTATGCCTAGCACTGGCCCTTCCTCCCCAACCCCCCAATGAATGCCCTCCCATCTTTTCACATAACATCTTTCAACATAACCGTAGAAAAGAGGAGCAAGGGAGCGGGTCTTACCTCAAGGGTATCAAAGATCTGTTTGACTTGCAAGATGTTTGTGATGTGCCACGTATATTTGGAAAAGGTGCCCAGGGGCAAAGCATCTTTCCGGACAAAAGCTGGAAAGGAACAAGCCCATCAAGGTGGTGTGATGGCGGCCACATTCCTCCTTCTGTGGCCAACTCCAATGGCAGAGGGAGCCAAGCTGCTGCTCCCTACAATTCCCATCATTCCTGATCTTTGGCCACGCTGGCCGAGAGTGGTGGAAGGCGGCGTCCAACAACACCCGGAGGGCATCTGTTGCCTATCCCTTTCACATGGTGTTGAGAAAGGAGACGAAATGTGATCTCAAGGGAGTCACAGAAACAGATGAGTTGTAGAGTTGGAAGGGACCACAAGGGTCACAATCACTGTGGCATAAAGTTCTTCTGAGGCCACAAGGAGAGGCTGTGCAGAGAGACCTTTCAGCTCTGCAGCATGCCGTTACAAGGGACTGGTCCCCTTCAGCTGCTGCTCCCACTGTTCATAGAATTTTAGAGCTGGAAGGAGACCTAAAGTAGGCTTCCTCAACCTTGGCCCTCCAGATGTTTTGAGACTACAATTCCCATCATCCCTGACCACTTGTCCTGCTAGCTAGGGATCATGGGAGTTGTAGGCCAAAAACATCTGGAGGGCCGAGGTTGAGGAAGCCTGACCTAAAGGGTCATCTAGTCTAAGCCCCTGCAAGGCAGAAATCACAGCTAAAGAATCCCTGACAGGTGGCCATTTGACCTCTGCTTAGAAACCTCCAGTGAAAGAGAGTCTATCAGCTTCCTAGTGAGTCAGTCTCACTGTCTTACAACTAGGAAGTTCTTCCTAATGTTTAGGCAGAATCTTGTTATTTGAATCCATTGGTTCTGGTCCTCTCCTCTGGAACAGCAAAAAACAACAACCTGGCTCCATCTTCCATGGGACAGCCCTCCACACATTTGAAGGTGACTCTCATATCACCCCTCAGCCTTGCCTTCTCCAGGCTAAACATCCCCAACTCCCTCAACTGTTCCTCACAAGGCCTGGTTTCCAGACCCCTGATCCTCTTGGTCACCTTCCTCTGCACACCTTCCAGCTGGTCAATATCCTTCTTAAATTGTGGTGCCCAGAACTGGACACAGGACTCCAGGTGGGGTCTGACCAAGGCAGAATAGAGCAGTGCTATCACTTCCCTTGATCTACTTCTGCTGCAGCAGCCTAGAACAGTATTAGCTTTTGTTGCTGCTGAATCACACTGCTGACTCATGTTAAGCTTTCTTATGCCTCAATACAGCCTTTCTATTGCAAAGCATCAATGTGCAGCTAATATCCCAAGTGGCTTCCCACAGATAAGATGCTCTAAAGGTTGAGTACCTGTGGTCGAATTTGGCATCCGTTTCTTGATGCTTCCAACAGAAATCCTCTGCTGGAGAGCCTCAAAGAAAGCCTGGGGGATGTGGAACACCAGTGGCTCTGGTTTGCCTGGGTAAAAACATGCACAAATGAAGAAATGCTTTTGAGAGGAACAACATAATAATGTTTAGACATTTCAACAGGACCAAGGCTCAAGCTAGATCATAAAAAAGGAAGGGGGAACCTATTGAGGTGAAAACTCTTGAAATAATTCACAAAGATAATCAGGGAGAAGGTTGGATGTGTAAGAGTGAAAGAGAAAAAAAACTTCACAGCTATGGGATAGCTATGTAGGATTTCCTCTGGGTGAATATTTTGTGGGCAGCCAGGGAACAGATGGAGACTGGTGTGTGTGAGAGAGACGAGAGAGGCCAACCATCCCAAACTTCTGATATATGGGGCAGTTTTTATCAGTTAGTCCAATTCTCTTCTATGCTCAAACACATACATATATATTTTATTGACTGGCTCCTAGAGTTAGCAGGCATTCTGCTTGCAACTGCCCAGGTGAAGTGATGGGAAGTCCTGGCCAAAGTGAGGTGTTCTGCTTTGTGCATAACGAATGCATGAATGGTTGCTTGGGGATGGACAAGCCATCTCCTTGCTGCAGTGTCGGTCCTGCACCTGTAAAGGCTGGGAGATCAGCCTGGCTGATTTGCAGTAAGTGTACACAATTCTTTAATGAAGCACTAGATCTGGCCATTTTGATGCTTTTGACATCCTTCTTTGGTACTCCTGCACCCAACCACTCCCACAAGTCCTCTTTTGGGTCTGCAGTTCACAACAGCACTACGTTCAGCTGGGAACCAGGACTGCCACTATAGATTGAGTCTGTGACTCCAGAAAGCAGTACAGGAGTACAGGAGGAGGCGGCAGGAGGTTCTTGATTGGCTCCAGTCAATCAACCTTGTCTAGATCTGGTTTCTGCTGCTGCCAGTTTATTTGAGCCCAGTGTGTAAATTAAACATAGTGAGAGGGCTTCTCTGCCAGTTTCATTTAGCCATAAGTGCTCTCTCTCTCTCTCTCTTTCCCCCTAAGAAATTAACAGTATTGAGTGCAACCTAACACCAATCATATCAGTACCATCTGAGTGCTACTGGAGAATAGCCTTATGCAGACAAAAGCCACTTACACAAGACACTGCAGGGTATTCCATCCGATGACCCTCTTATAATATGAACAAGGATTCAAGGGATAAAGGTGAGGTCGGAGGAGACTTACCATCAAACTGGTAGTGCATGGCTTGGTGGATGCGTTCAGTGACACTGGCCAACCACTCTTGGAAGGACAAGGTTACTTGTGATTCATCAAGCAGCTGACTGCAAGCTAAGGAAAAGGAAAACTCTTAACCTAAGCACATCAGGCCAATGGCCACCTAGTCCAGCCTCCTGGCTCACAGTGGCCAACCAGGCGCCTCTTTTGGGAAACCTGCAAGCAGGACCTGACCCATAGCTGTCAACTTTTCCCTTTTCTTGCGAGGAATCCTATTCAGAATAAGGGAATTTCCCTTAAAAAAGGGAAAACGTTGACAGCTATGACCTGAACACAACAGCACTGCCCCCCCCCATTGGAGAACAGCCTCTACTAAAGGCCTCGTAAAGAAGCACAAATTCGGGAACAAGGGGAGAAAAAAACTAAGAGGAAGGTACGTTTGGCAAATCCTCATTGCGATCAACTCCCACCCGGAAACCTATGTCTCCACTGTGGAAGGATGTGCGGATCCAGAATTGGCCTCCACATCCATTTACAGACACACCCCTAAGACTGTGTTCATGGAAGACAATCTTACTCGGTCACAAGTAATCGCCAAGAGACAATCTAAAAATATATGAATGACACAAAAGGAAAAAGGGATGGACAGGGGAAAAGAAAGCAAGCAAACACAGGCACTCAACTATTAATGTTACAAAGTTCTTATAATGACCAGCTTTCACTTTAGGATGCTCAGAATCTTAAGAGAGACAAGGTCAGTGCTGAGGTTTCAAGTCTTTAATTTCTTATATTAATTTATTTCCTCATGGGGAGAGGAAAAGGAGTGTAATACAGTTCCCCAGACATGCATATAAGGCAGGAAGACCAAAAAGCTGAAGGAACTAAAGAACCCAGCTGGAAAGTAGAGTGTAGGCTGAGCAAAACTGGCCTTTTGTGGAAAACCCTCACAGTCCATTTCTGCTTTGCGTTCCTTGCAGCTTGCTGAGCTGGCAGAAAGAAAACTCACCTTGCCTTTTCAGTGAAGCAACCGCTGGCTTTTTCAATCCACTTTTGCGCAGGTTTGTGTTTGCCACGTCTTGAGACAAGAGGGGGCTACTTGCTTGTGTGCCTTAAAAGTAAAAGTTGAAACAGCTTTAGAATGAGTCGCACTGGGAAAGCGAAGATGGTGCCTGCCAGATGTTGTTGAACTGCAACTCCCATCAGTCCCAACTGACGGCTAACGGTCCGGTCAGGGCAGGGCGATGAGAGTTGTAGTCCACAATGTCTGGAGGATATTGCATTGGTGACCCCAATGCATTTAAAATGCTTCCCATGGGTCTCTTCTAATTGTGGAAGTATGTCTCCAAGCCACACAGGACTCAATGAAGGCTCTAGCACTATAACAAGTGCTGCTAGTAGCTATGATGATCCCCAAAAGGCAAACTCTGCACTATGGATGCAGGTAAGAGTCATCCATATCAGAGTGGAACATGTAACACAAACAAGTCAAAATTTAATATTCTCACCCATTCCTTCATCTTTTTTCCTCTTTTTGGCCTTGGAGGCAGCAGCCTCTCCAGAGCTCAAAGTGGATTCAGGCTGACAGAGAAGCTGGGCTCCTACTGTTGACTTCAGACCTGGAGTTGCAGGAGAGAAGAGGTTGAAGGTTTGAGTCTTCACTCTGCGTTTCTCCTCGTAAGATGTGAGCTTAAATGCAGTGAGCTCCCTTTGCTTCTAAGCCTGCCTACAGGGACTGTCAGTGGCCTTCCCAGGGTGAGCTGCGGGGGCCCAGCCCTTCCAAGGTATTCCAGTCTGCACACCCACACACCCCACATACAGGCATGGCAGGGGGGTTCTTTATTTCATGCACTTGGCCTGAGCTGTCTGCTGACCACATCCTTTCAGCCTCACTCATGTTCTCTGACCTTACCCACCGCTGGAATCATAGCTGAGGAAATCTGCAAACTCCTGGGCCAAGAGATCATCGCTGGCAAAGGCACAGAGGCAGGCAAAGAAGTGATTGCATTTCTGGCTTGCCTCTTCCTTAGCAGAGGCGGCCTTGCTGGACTTCAGCGACTGGCAGGAGCAGAGGAAGCGGTGTTCCGCCCTGCTCTTGTGGCCAGCCTTGTGGGAGAAGGAGATGTGGAGGTAACCCAAGCTATGCTTCTGGCTGGCTTTGCACTTCACCACTAGGATGTTCTTGGTAATCCTCTGAACTAGGGGCCCTGTGGACTCCGTGGCCAACTGCCATAAGGTTTGCTTTGTCTCAGCAGAGGCCTGCAACGAGTTCAAGACTGAGCTTTTCAGGGGCAACGGGGTGGCCTCTGCCTGACAGTTCACAGCCAGTTTAATGTGCTGGCACTGGTTTTCCACCACCCCTTGTGCAGCCGCCTTCAAACACGATGGGACGTAGCAGCGCCCAGAGCTGAGTTGTGTGATGATGGTCCCGTCTACTGTCTGGATGGTGGTCTCCGAAACTCCCAGCTCCACAAAGCACCGGTACTCTGGCCCCCTGTCCCTCTGCCGCACTGAATAGACCTGTAGATCAGAGCCAGTGTTGATTTTGACCGCGTCGACACCGGCCTGCTTCCGGGTGCCATAGCGGAAGATGGTGCCGCAAGTCTTGTTCTTGCAGCTCAGCCCGCGGGTGCCGTTGTAGGTGCCGCACCGGGGGCATTTCCTGATGCCTCTCAGGGTAGCTTTCCCCAAGTCTGATAAGAAAGCTGGGACTTTACTCCTGGCAGGGTTTGATTCCATCCTTCAGGCAGCCTGGGCAAAAGGAAGGCACAAAGAAATGAGAGATCTGATCAATTGGAATGCCTCGCTCCAAGTGCATTCAAGCAAAGGTACTCTGTAGGGGCTTTCCGAAGCAAACATGATGTCAGAGATGATCTACCTATTTGTTGTTGTTGCTAAAAAGAAGCTGCAAGGGGGTCAGTTTTGAGCAGCTGTGCAGGAAGCACAAAAAAGAGCTGCTGTTAGCTATGGACAGACAGAACCATCTAGACATCATAGCTCCCTGTATATTCACATCTCAGCAGCAGATACAACTACAGCGTGTGTGTGTGTGTGTGTGTGTGTGTGTGTGTGTGTCTGTCGGGGGGGCAGGTTAGCCCCCTCCACCGCAGTATGAGCTAACACACTGCTTTCAGCAAAAATAAAAAATGCTTCTGAGATGTCAGGTCTCATTTGTCCCTCAGGTGCACCTGACCTTTTCAACCTTATGAAACACACACAGCTTGGTTCATCTTGTCTTCATTTTCCCTATATGCCCTTTTAAATCTGGAGTGATAAATATGGCATTGGAAGCAAAGGACCCCTATTAACATCCAAACTCCGTTCAAAACACTAATCAGTTCAGACATTCATTTTCTAGGTTGCTAACCTTAGGTGACCTTTCCTGCAAGGAGGATCAGATTAAGCAGAACTGCTCCAAAACTTAGGCATCTCAGTTCAGTTCCACTTGGTGGGCCACATTATCAATCAACAACAAAAATGTGTGTATGTGGAGAGATATCTGTACTGTGCAAATCAAAGCCTCAGTTTCCCACCTCCTAAAATGGGAGGAAGGAACCTTCCTTACAGGACTGCAGAATGAACAAAGTGACCTAAATAAATAAATTAGGTGCAGTGAGGCTGTTGGACTCCTGACTCCCAACAACTGCATCCAGTGTGGCAGCAGGTCAAGAATGATAAGAGCTCTCCTCCAGGAAAACCTGGGGGGGGGGACCACGTTGGCTGTCTCTGATGCACGGCATCAAACATACCAATCCCCACTCCTGCTTCCCCCAAAGTCCAATGGAACATCATTAACCAGTGCTGTTGAGTCCAATGTCCAGCTATCCATGTTGAAAGTAATATAATCTGTTAGGTGCCTGTTTTACATGATCCCAGAACTGAGGATGGACCAAGAAGTGGTGGGATCTAGTGATGCCATGAATCATTCTCAAGATTCTGGCAAGAACTCGGACCATCAGCCCAGTGGTGTCACAATGAAGCATTTTCTGGCAAGGAACCTCTGCTGTGATGTTCCTGTGAGGTCATAAAGGGGAAAAGATGCATGCAAAATGTGCATCTTGCCACTAGCCCTTACATTCTCAGATTGAGTCAGAGGAATCCTGGGAAGTCACACATATTGGGAATCACTGCTGCTGCTGCTGCTGGAAGGCAAATATTGATTTGAGGACTGCTCTCTCTCTCCCGATCTCTGTCAATAGTGGAGAAGGAAAGGACTGATCAGATTCTGCCAAAGTCAAGGTCCAATGGACAGCCAGGCAGGCCCTTTTCCCACTTAGAAGCATCACCCCCCACAACCCAGATGCATAATAGTTTCCAGCCTACTTTTGGCTCTAAGGGATGCCCTGCATTTCAGATTATTCACAACACATCTCAAACTATAAACAAATGCAGAATTATGAAAATAAACAAAACCCTTCAATAATTAGTACACAAAGGTGAATTCAAGGGGGAGGCAATGATTTAATTATTTTCTTTATATCTCACCTTTTTTTCTAAGGAGCTCAAGGTGGCGTATATGGTTTCCCCTCTCCTCATTAATTCCCACAACAACCCTGAGAGGTAGGTTAGACTGAGAGGCAATGACTGGTCCTAGGTCGTGCCAAGTGAGCTTCCTGAGAGAGTGGGAATCTCCAAGATCCTAGTCAGCACAGAGGGCTGGATCGAAAGCCCCTAATTCTCGATCCCTAAGCCACACCAATCTTGAGCTACAGCACTGAAAAACTGCAAAATGCCCACCCTACCTGATATGAGCCAGTAGGAGGGCTTAGAATGTGGCTGTAATTTGCTGTCTCAATCCCCTCAACCCCAATTAGGATTGCTCTGCCCTGCCCCAGCATCTGCCAGAACTCATAAATATTCATTTTTCCTCCCCCCAGTCCATGGTTCCAAGACGTCCTCCTAGTTCATGAACCATTCCACAGTCCATCAAGTTGTCTGGTCGCCTGCCAGCCAAGTGATCATTAAAATGAGAGAGTTCAGAGCTAGGAGAGTGGCAGTTTTATTTTTTTTAATCTTTTGCTCACTCTTCCTCCAGGCACCAGAGAGCAGCACACACAGTTCTCCTCTTACCTATTTTATTCTCAGAACAATCTTATGAAGTGGGCTACATTGAGAGGGAATAACTGGCGAAAGTCACCCGGGCTGATGTCCTAACCTGGTCACCACCAGATGTTTTGGACTACAACTCCCAGCAGTGGAAGCTTGGCCATATGATTTTGGGGCGAATGGAAGTTGCAGTGCAAACGATCTCTAAGACACCAGCTTGCGGAATGGTGCTCTAACCACTACCTAACAGTCTCCAATGTATTATTTGCACAGGTTCAAACCAATTCACATATTTTGTTGTGAAACTTGCAAAGGTTTCCACCTCTTTAGCCACCCAGTAAGTCATCACATAGTGTTCCTTTGCAAGTAGTACTCCTGAAACAAGCAGCAAACCAGAAAGCAGTGATTCAGGCATTTTTAAGAACATAAGAAGAGTCCGCTGGAAGCCGCCCAGAGTGGCTGGCGCAGCCCAGTCAGATGGGCAGGGTACAAACAATAAAATCATCATCATGGTTGTTATTATCATCAGGCTAATGGCCCATCCAGTTCAGCATCCTGCTCTCACAGTGGCCAGCCAGATGCTTGTGGGAATCTGCGGTGAGCAGGATCCGAGCCCAAGAGCAGCCCTCTCCCCTCCTGTGGTCTCCAGCAACGGGTACGCATTGTTGCCTTCCAGGGCGGCGGCAGCAGCAGCAGAGCAGAGCCAGCCTGGCAAATCAGGGCAGCGGCTTCGTGCCCTCTCGCCGCCGTGTGCAGCCCCCCAGCAGGCGGTGGCAGCAGCAGCTTCCAGGGGCGAATGACACTCACTTGGACAGAGAGCGGGCAGGGAGGGAGGCGAGGAAGCATTCGTTCCCTTCACAAAGGGAAGGCTCAGGGGCACGTGGCCCGTGCCAGCTTCTTCAGGGAGGCAGGAGAAAGCACTCTGCACATGTTCAGAGGCACCCTGCCTTCTCAGAAGCCAGGCTGCGTTTTGAGAAGCAGAGAGGCGGCCCCACGGCGGGGCATCCCTCCTGCCCGCTTGGACGTGCAGCTCGGCCGGCCCGAGAAGCGGCCATCCTCCGACCCCGCGCTTGACACCTTCCGCATGGCGTCACCGGCAGCAGCTGCGCGACGCGCGGCGATGACGTCACGGGCCGGCAGCGGCCGCGCCCCCTCCTCGGTCGCATGGCAACCGCGGGCGGGGCGGGAGAGGTGAGGCCTAGGCCAGAGAGTCTCCCTCCAGCCCGCCCAACGTCACTTCCTGCCGCTCCCTCCGCAGCGGGCGCCCAGCAGGACCCTTCCCCTTCCCGCCGAGGCCCCCGCCGCGTCGCCTTTTACCTGGGCGGCCTCCTCAGCCTCGGGCCCCAGCCGGGCGGGCGGCCGGCGGAGGAAGTCGGCGAGCGGCCTCCGCTATGGCTCCTTACAAACGGCTCGCGGGTCTCGTCTGTAAGAGCGGCTCCCATTGGCGCAGCCGAGGCGCCGCTGCCTCGCGAAGCACGACGGGAAACGCAGTCCGGCCGCCTCCCAGGGTCGCGGAAGTCGCGTGCGGGGCTCCTGCTTATGTAAAAGGGCCCGAGAGCTCGAGGGGAAAGGATGCGTCCGGGCTGCGCTTTATTCCTTACAGGCGTAGCACGAAACTGCACCTACCTGGCTTTTGGGGCGGCGTGGGCTTTGCAACGGTCTCGCCTAGCTTACTTAATGTTCTTTCGTGTTCAGAATGCACTTGAAGCGCGGCTTGGATGCCCCCTTGCGATGCCCTTGCACGGCTTTAAAGGGCGGCTCTCTCCGTTTTCTCCCTTCGAGGCTGGGTGACTAGCACCGAGGCAGGATATCAAACAAGCTTGAGGAACCTACTTACTAAAGTGACAATTGTTGTTTAGTCATGTCCGCCTCTTCGTGACCCCCTGGACCAGAGCACGCCAGGCACTCCTGTCTTCCACTGCCTCCCGCAGTTTGGTCAAACTCATGCTGGTAGCTTCGAAGACACTATCCAACCATCTCGTCCTCTGCCGTCCCCTTCTCCTTGCGCCCTCCATCTTTCCCAACATCAGGGTCTTTTCCAGGGAGTCTTCTCTTCTCATGAGGTGGCCAAAGTATTGGAGCCTCAGCTTCAGGATCTGTCCTTCCAGTGAGCACTCAGGGCTGATTTCCTTCAGAATGGAGAGGTTTGATCTTCTTGCAGTCCATGGGACTCTCAAGAGTCTCCTCCAGCACCAGAATTCAAAAGCATCAATTCTCTTGTGATCAGCCTTCTTTATGGTCCAGCTCTCACTTCCATACATCACTACTGGGAAAACCATAGCTTTCTAACTATACGGACCTTTGTCGTAAAAAAAAAAATTGGCAATACCACTCCCCATAAAGTGAGGCTTGGCAGCAACTGCTATTGAGAAGAAATAAGCAATAGCTGCATGAGTTGCTGGAGGCAGTGAAGGCCTCTATTCAGGATGTAGCCTTCTTTGGGTCTAGGTTCTGAAGCTTCCAAGAGGCTGCACACCAGAAATACCCCTTAGGAAAGGCTCCAGAGAATATGAGCCTTTGGTTGGTTAGAGCTGCTTCTATTTCATAATATGCCACAACTCCCCATTTTCTATAAAGTGGTTGATGATGAGTCACCTCTCTGAAAAATATGACCTTATTACATTTGCACATGATGGTCAGCAAACAAAGCAATGTGTCACTGAAGAGTTCACCCAGGGTTGGAAAAACAGAACCTGTCCAGTGTGAAGTAAAGATGCTGCAATCAAAAACCAAAGGAGTTATGGGTTTGGACATTCACCTCTATGCCTGGTGAGAGATGCTCAAGGAAGAATTGCAGGTAAGTGCCAAACGCCCACTCTTTATTTCTTAACACACATAAGAGAGGTGGTGAAATAAGGTCTCAACAGCCCTTCAATTGATTAAGATGGCTACCCAAGACACTGGTTGCTCTTGCTAAGGCCGCCTTCAGAGTCACATCACCCAAGAGAAAAAGGCTGGCAGGTAATTTAGACTTGGCAACTCAAGAGACCTTTTCCAGTTCCACTTTTCTCCCAAACCTGTGCTAGAATATCTGAACAGTAAAGTAAACAAAAGGTTAAGGATGAAATACGCAAGCTCACATCTTTTATTAACATCTTAATGGCTTTCAAAAGTCACGGCTTCTGGAGTGAAGTTCTTGAACTTCTAAACACAAGTATCAAAATACATTAGTTCAAACGAAGCTTTCAATGTTCATACAGAGACAAAAATGGGCTGCTACTTTTAAAAACAAAATAACCCCAAAACAATACCCCAGGCAGCTTTATCCTTCTTTGTTATCTGTACGGGGCATTACTCTCGTTTACATTTACCGTATTTTAAGAAGACTCCCTTTTAAAACTGAAAGGCTGCTTAAACTAAAAACAAGGAGGAAAAGGGCAATAGTGAGAGAAAGAAATAGGCTCAAATGCTTCACCTACATTTTTTTGTAGGACCACTGGAGAAGTTACAGCAGAAGAGGCTGACACTTGGTAAGCAACTAGTTTTTAATGTGGCTTATGTAGCAGAAGTGACCTCCAGAAAAGTATGAGAAATCCTAGTCAGAAGTAGCTTAGCAGTAACAATTGTATAACTGGAAGGGCCTCATCCATTCATTTTTCTAAAAGCATTTCTAAGTCTGAGGAACTTGAGAATTTTAAGCCTTTAATTATGCTCAACAAAAACAACCTGAAATTCATGTCTTTCCTGGGTGCCCAAACGGAGAGTAGGGGAAAAGCAACCAGCACTGACATAATATTAAAAGCCTTGTTTGTGTGTTTTTTAAACTAGGTAACAGTATCTCAGACAGTTCCAATGGCAGGAATTTTATTTAAGACAACTAAACCTGGGCAGTTCTATTGCTGAAAATACACACATAGAAATTCCAGTGCGGCACCAAACTCACCTCAAACCTATTCCTGTCCTCTTTTGAAAGAATTGTACAGGCGGAGGTGGTAAAAATAATTTTAAAGATATGTTTATGCAAGTTTAAAAGGCAGCAAGGAGGCAGAAATAAGAGTGGTCTATGAGTTAAAGCTGTCTTTTCAGTATACTTCACTTTTTTAAACATATGGGGGGCCAGACCCTGCTTTCAGGGTAAAAACTGGTTTTTGATTGTTGTTTTTTACAGCCAGGTTTCACTGAACTCAAGCCATCTGGTTCTGCTTCCTTTACAGAATTCCAGTTGTTAAACAGAGTCAGGGACAAGAGTTTCTCAAGAGTCACCATAAGTTTTCCTTTGTCTTTTCCTCTACCCCCTCCCACTGCAAATTATATTCGTAGCAAACTTTCAAATTTTAGAACACCATTCACACCCAGCAAATCATGGAACACTCCCCAAATGTGAGGGGTTGAAATCAAGACAAATAGGATTTTAACATCTCCAAAGCCAACCCTCTATCATAGGGTCACTTATTTCCATAAAACACATTTGTCATAGGACACTCCATATATCATAAACTCAATAATCCCTTGATACATTGCTCCACTACAACCAATGCAGAATAAAAAGCATACACCTCCATGGGCCCAGACATTAACTGGGATAAATAAATATTACACCTAGGGGTAGCTTTCTTTTTTGCACTCTCTGAAGGCTAAGTCAAGGAGGTAGGATAGCAAGGTTTTTTTTGGCCTCTGAACAATTAAAAATGCTTAATCCAGCTGGTCCTTCAGGCTTAACCGGAGCATTCCTTATACTCCTGGCCTGATCCGCACAATGCTACAAGTAATCAGAGCTCTACCTGTACATGCTAAATCAAGTCAAATTTACTCCACTTGAGTAAGAAGTTGCTAAGACCAATGTATTCTCTACATATTCGAAAAATGAGAGCATGACTGGTGTATTCAAAATCTAATAATGTATTTGATATTCACATGCAAAAAGCCAAAGTTTAGAATCATACTCATTAAGTCACATAGACCTCTCTGCCTTTTACCCTTTCAAAGAAGGAGACATACAAAAGCTGACCAACTTTTGTGAAAAATATTAATTTGCTAAAATAGTTTACATGGTATAGGATACATGTAAATGTAAAAACTGAGAGATTTAGAAAAGCTGGTTCATTAGAATGTGTCACATTTTTAATAATATCTGAAACTGGGTTGAAGTTCATCGGTGAAGATCTTTGCACAAACCCAACAGGGATTTCCCAGGCACCTTCTCACGTCTAACAACAGGAGGAGTTGGATCCGTTGGAGAGCTCTGAACAACTACTGCTGCCAACCACCACTTCCCACCGCCACCCCCATTTAATAATTTAACAGCTGACAGTAAGGCAAAAATCACTTTTTGAAAAATGTCTAGATACAAAATAATGTAAACCAATAAGTTATATTTGAAACCCCAGTATAACAAAAGTGAGGAGATGGGACACTTTATACAATAGGCTCTCTTTAGAACAGAATTGTGCACAAGCTGAAGATCACAATAAACCTTCAGAACTCACACAGTTTTGGCGTGTTTTGTTTTTGTACAACTTTTCATATACATTTTCAGTCATACTAGGAATGCAACTAGAACTGCACACTACTTCAGTGGAAAAAAGTTTGATATTGTGCAATATTCTGCCCCAATCTAAAAGTGGCAGAAATCCCTGCATTAGTTGTGTTTCAAACAAGGATCTTAAGAAACACATCTCAAAAGAGGAAAAGAAGGCAAAAGTTGGCAGATATCCAGCATCTAGTATTTCCTGTGTGTGTGTTTTAAAAAAAATGTGGACAACATAGTTTCATGATTAAAAATAAATACTGTTTTCTGACTTTTGCACTGACTTGATTGGATAGGTTTTTTTTAAGTAAACAAAGGGTTTTACAATGCTCCATATATAGCCTCAAAGCCACCAGTTGTTCTATTCCAGAGTCTTTCTCAGTTCCTCTCACTGTGTTTCAAAACCTGCCATTCGATATCCAGTTTGACTAGTTAGAACGCTTCCATTTTGCCCCTGGGGTGGGGGCGGCGGCGGTGGGGGCGGGGGCGGCACACCATAATTTGCACCCATCCATGCTGCAGAAGACTGTGTCTGACTGAATGAAAAAGGAAATGAAATAAAGCTTAGAAAGTTTACACAGACATAATGAACTGGAATCAAGACAACAGTGAATGTCAAGCCAAATATTTTATCACTTTATCCACCACCACTAGTGCAGGCCCACAAAATTAAACCACACAGGATGCCTTCAGAAATTCATTCCCACTTTCTGCACCAAATAAACAATGTACAAAATAATTTCTAAGATATATGAAGATAGATTAGTTTGAGTGACCACTGACTTCTATCATTCTACACACATCAATGTGGATCAAAAGGGTCTATATTTTGCTTAGAAAGGACACAGAACTGCAAGTCCAATGGCCTGTGTCAGGGAACTGCCATCGGTAGGAAGGGAGGTGAAAGGACTCAGACAGGTTGGAAGAGACTTAGCAGCTGAAGAG